TGTGTGCTCGCGCGCGGGGCCGTGCTCCCGGCGCGCGCGCGGCGGCCCTTCGCGCGCGCGCGCGTGCCGGCACGGCCCGGCGCAGGACGTGGCCTTTGGCGCGGCAGGGTTTGTTTGGCGCCCGGGCGCCCCCAGCCTCGAGGGGGGCTCTGCATCGCCGAGCGTGGCTCGCTGCCTCGAGCAGCGTGGCACCCCACCTCACGGCGTTGAGGGGGTGTCGGAGGAGGAGGAGGAGGAGGAGGAGGAGGAGGACGAGGAGGAGGAGGAGGAGCAGAATCAGCAAGCAGGAGCAGGCGGGAGCAGGGGGGGGGGAGTGAGGCGAAGGGCGAAGCCGAAGGGGGGGGGCATGATTGGCAGGGCACGGCATATCGTGGAATGGAATGGGCGGGGAGAGGGAGAGCAGAGGAGAGGAGCGCATGGTGATTCACCAAGACGAGGGTGAGGAGCGGAAGGAATTGGACGGGAAGCCACGGAAGGGGGAGGGGGTATGAGGAGATGGAGGAGCAGTATCAGCAGGAACGGGAGGAGGGGGATGTGAGGCTGGAAGGGAGGAGGATGGGGGTGGGGGGGGCGGCAGCGGGGTCGGGGAGAGTTGCGGGGGATCGAAGAAGGGGAGGGGGAGCGGGAAAGGAAGGGAAGGGCAGAGGGGAAGGACGAGGGAGATGGAGGAGGAGGAGGAGGAGGAGGAGGACGAGGAGGAGGAGGACGTGGGGGGCGGGGGAGAGGGATGTTACCACCTGCCCATGAGCAGGCCACGGCATGATGTGGAGAGTTCTTGGAGAGTGATGCAAAGGAGGAGGAGGGGGAGGAGGAGGACTGCCCGCTGCAGCAGGTGCGAGCCGCCGGAGGATGAGGTCGCGAAGCCGCCGCCAAAGGCCGCCCAAGGGAGGGATGCAATCTGGCGCGCCTCGCGCATCCGAATCAGACCGCAGAGAAGCGACTCCGAGGGGAGCTGTCGTAAGAAGGGAAGCGGAGGGACAGTGGTGAAACAGACGTGGGGGCGTCGGCCAAGCCAAAGGAGGGCTCAGCCCACGCAGCGGCCCACCCGAAGATAGACAATTTTGGTCTTTCTGGCATACCATCGGCCATCGGTGGCTTTTTGGAGCGGGCATCGTCGGTCACTGAATGTTTGGGAAGTTGTCATATATGCGTGAGTTACTACGCATTTCTACTAACGCCTGGCATCGCAAACTGGCCGACTGCGAACCAATTTCAACGTCTGCTCCTTCACCATGATGCGGTGTTCTACTTTAGACGCTTCGCGTAACCCTACCAGCCAGCCTCGGCGGTAGGTTCTGATTCCGGGCTCGGCCGCTGTGCTCTTAGACTAGCGCGTTGCTAATTTGACAGGCCCGTGGCCCAGACCTTTCAGCTCGGCGACTGCGAATGCGCGTCCGCCCGCGACCAAAAAAAAAGAAGCGTAACCCCACCAGCCCATCCAGAAACGATGCCCAGGGAAGTTGCCCTGATCAGCGATGTGGAGGAGCATGCAGTTGAATCAAGGGGTGGGTACGACGTCATACCCCGAGAAGGGGAGGATGGAGGAGGAATCGGATGAGGAGGAGGAGGAATAGGATGAGGGTGAGGGAGAGGAGAGAGGAGGAAGGAGGAGGAATAGGCGGATGAGGAAGAGGACGAGGAAGGAGGAGAAGGAGGAGGAGTTGAAGGGCGAGCACACAGGCCAGAAGTTTTTCGGATGCCTCTCAGAGTCTGTTCGGATTTCTTCCGCGATCTTCTCGGAGCTTTCCTGAGGTTTCTTGGAGGTCTCCTGGCAGTCCTGGGGCTCTCTTGGGGCGTCTTGAGTGCCTGTCGGGAGCCTCTTTGAGCCTGGGGGTCGTCTTGGAGCCTCTTGTGGGCATATTCGGGGCCGCTTTTAGGGGCCTTTTGGAGCCTCCTGGGAGCTTCGGGGGGCAGTTTATTGCCATCTGGGAGGAGATCAAGTGAAAAGACGAAACCTATTCAATCAGGCCCCCTCCAGGAGCCAACATGTGGCCAACACCATGGAAACATCTATGCTTTTGGCTTCCTCGCGGAGGCCAGCTTCGACGCTCCAGCGCATCGCGGAACGCCCCCTCCGAACCGATGGGGGAGGGAAGAGGGAACATGGAAGAGGACATGCCCTGAACCACTCACGCTGTTCTTGGGTGCTTTGCTGAAGGTGGTTCCGCCGTGCGGATGGTCGTGGTTATATGTTTGTTTTCACTTCTGGAGCTTTACTACCCATCCGGAGTCTCAGAAGTGAAAGCTCATCAGGGCGAGGAGGAGGAGGAGGAGGAGGAGCAGGAGCAGGAGCAGGAGGAGGAGGAGGAGGAGGAGGAGGGGGAGGAGGAAAGCCCATAAGTCTCCAGGGCGGCGACGCTCGACAGCGATGCCGCCCGAGAGGGGGGGAGAGAACGGCACCCCATCGATGCTTGGAGGAGGCCGTTGCCCGACGACGCCCGAGCCAAATCGCCAGTCCGCCACGTCCGCCGACGCCGGCGGTTGACGCGTCCGGGCGCCGGCGGGAGCACAGGGGTGCCATTCAGAGCGTGAATTACCTACCTCGCTTTCGCTTCCAGGCAAAACCAAGCCATATCACGCGCCTCCTCGTCAAGCGGTCTGATCAGTACAGGCTGCAATTTGGCATCGTTTGGTATCTCTTGGAAGCGAGGGTGGTCAAGAGCGAGGGAGGTTTGTTTTCCCCCTAAATCCGCCACGTCCGCCGACGCCGGCGGTTGACGCGTCCGGGCGCCGGCGGGAGCACAGGGGTGCCATGCCCCCCCTCGAGGGTGGTGGTTGGGCCTCCGACGCGCTGTAGCGAATGGGCGCGCCTGCGTCTCCCCCCCCCCGAGGGTAGGCCAGAGCTGCGCCATGGCGAGCAGAGGAGAACACCCTTGGGTGGACGTCCCCAGAGGGCCGCAGGCAGGGTTTAGTCGGGCCTGTCCCCCTACAGGGGGATTTTCGACGAAAAATAAAAAATACCCCAAAAATAATCAAAAAGTACTCCAAAAAAAGTCTGGGGACTATTTTTGGAGTGGTAGACTACGTTTCATGTCCCCCCCATCAGATTTAGTCCACGATCGCAGACGCCCCTCGCCGAGGGCGTTCCAGGGGTGCCAGAGTTGTCCCGAACGGCCCCCTTAGAGCCGAGTCATAGCCCGAAAACCACGTGGGACCGGTAGGGCAGGACTAGCTCAGTGGGGGTGAAGCATCGATGCGGCCGGATAATTAGGCCACCCCGAACAGGAGCACGCGGCTTCGCTATCTGGGGCTTGTCACCGATCTATTGGCGATGCATCGCCGACTCGAGCTGCCCCTACGATTCCCACTCCAACTGTTCCAACTGGCGCTGGGGTGCAGGGTGTCCGACACCCCCGCTGGGGTTCAGTTGGCTGCAGAGGTCTCTGAACCCCAGCCGGTTTTTCAGAATTCTGACTGGCAGGGGTACAGTGGAGGCCCATACCAAGAAACACCTTGCTTGCCTCCAGGGTGCCCTGGGTTTCTTTGGGCTTCGAGGAGTTGGCGATGGAAAGCGCGACGTCCACACGCCAAAAATGAAGGGACGTCCTGGGGTCTCAGGGTTGGGTTTCTCGTGGAAGGTTTCTTGTGGTCGGGCCTCCACTGTACGGTCAAGACGCCGAATCAAAGGACCACCATGGGCCCAAGATCAGGAGGGGAAAACACACAGACACAATTAAACGTCGATCTCCAGGAAAATATGGGAAATACGGGAAGTGGGGGGGAAGCCCAACTCCCAGAAAATATGGGAAAGTGTGGGGAATCCTCTTATTTGTGGGTATTCATTTGTGTGTCCCAGGGCCCCTTCACGGGAGGGGCTCTGGTTTTCGGGTCGCCCCTTCGATCTTGGTCGGGAGGGGCCACCTCGTGGCCGAGACCCGCCGTGGCCGCGGCCAGACGAGCTCGTCCTTCTTCATCCGGCGTTCCTCGTGGCACCACGCCCGCGAGGGCTTTAGGTCAAGCAGTGGCGAAGCGTCCTGGCTCGCCTACAGCCCTACCACACAATGCTCTAAGAACCGTTTGTGGTTTCCACGACATGTTCTTAGAGCATTTCTGGCGGAGTCTGTCTTGTGTTATCACATCGGATTCATGTTCTAAGAGCATTGTTGTTGTTCTTAGAACATGTCTTGGGGTTCTAAGAGCACTTCGTGGTAAGACTTAGGAATGCCAGGACGGTCGGTCCCTGCTCAATTAGGGCCGACGCGCGGTTGCCCTCCCCAGACATCCCAGCACCCCGTTTTTTTTCAGACGTGGGCCCCCGACCTCTCGACCACCTCCCCAGGGCCAGCTCTTCTCCTCGCGAGCATTTTTTGCCTGACGGCCTCGAGGCTTGGTGCTGGCCCCCGAGAGGGAGAACACCATGAACATGTGACGTTGTGGAGGACGGTCAATGGAGAGGAAGCATGTTGCCAAATAAGTTCCAGATGTCTAAAACATGCTTCAAACATGCCAATATCCTTTTCAAAACATGCTTGGAACATGTTTGCGACATGTTAGACACATTTTAAATTCAATGGTAGGACTGTTGGGGTGTCCATTGTCGTGGCATCCACAACAAGATGTTGGTGTCGGGTGCCTTCCGAAGGGCCCTGCCGAGCGGCCGCAGGCATCCCCGGTGCGGTGGACAAGAGCCACGGGCGGCTCTCTGCAGCGGCCCCGCCCCCCGCGCGCGCGCCCCCGCCACCGCGCCGAGGGGGCCGCGGCGCGCGATGGCGCTGCGGCTGATCCACCGGGGCGGGGGGGGGCCTTGGAGAGTCGAATCGATCTAGGCCTCCCAGATGGGGTCGGAGGAGATGGGGTCGGAGGGTCGCGCCGCATCGCCGATGCATCGGCGATGCGGCTCGACGTGGGGCCCCATCTGCTTCACGTCGACGTCGCCGATGCATCGCCGACGTCGACGATACATCGCCGGTGCATCGTCGATACATCGCCGATGCATCGGCGATGCGGCGCGATCCTCCGACCCCATCTACTCCGACCTCATCTAGGAGGCCTCTACCTTGGAGAGTCGAATTGAGGAAGAAGCTCGGTACGATCGAGACAGTTCCTGCTCCTTCTGATCAGGGGTGACGTGATCCGCCTGAGGCAGGAGGCAGCCTGTCCAGCAGCGGCCAGCCGCTGTCGGCTTTGGACAACATTTGGTGTTGGCCACCGTAACAATCTTTCCTAACCATTCCGGATGTCCAAAGTCGAGGCGGCAGCATTTGCACATCCACAAACGTTCGCAGGTCCGCGCGGAGTTCTTGGATTTGTGCTGGGCCCCCGGGGCGCCGTCCCCGGCGCGCCCCCGCGCGCCGAGAGGTCCTCGCGGTGCTGTGGCATTTTGCGCCTACTCTGGGTTTCTTAGTGAGCGTGGGGGGGCGTCACCCCCGCCGACAGCCCCACGTCGACCCCCGTCGCGGGCAGCCACCGCGCGCCGAAGGCGCTCGCAACCTCCGTCGCGGCGCGAGGACGAGGCGCGGTGCGGTTGACCCCCGTCGGGGGGGCCCCCCGCCCCTGCTGATTTCTACGAAGCCCAGAGTCTGCGGCAGCGTCCTCTCTTCCAGGGGCGGGGGGCTCCCTCGCGGGCCTTCCTCCCTCCCCGCCGCGCTCCGCCGGACGGCCTGCGCCACGGGGGGGGGGGAAGGGGCCTGCGAGCGGAGCGCCCTTTCCCCCGGCCGAGCGGGGGCGCCAGCGACTCGGGCGGCGGCGCGATCGGCGCTCCTCACGGGAGGGCGCGGGGGCAGTGCAACTGCTCGCCATGGAATAGCCCTCGTCAGCACGGGTGGATGCACTTCGAAGGTCTGGCCGGAGATCGGTGGCAACATGTGAGCCTTACCCCCCCACCCCCCACGATTTCCAAGGGGTGGGTGGGGGTTCACTTCGTTCGGGAGCTCCCGAGCGGAGTGCCCCCCCCCCCCCCCTAGAAATCGTTGGGGGTGGGGGGTAGGGTTCACACGTGGCCACCTGAGAGGGCACCGCACGAGAGGTCCGTGGAGTAGCGGTATCGGCATCGTTTTGTTTACCCAGCTCCCGCTTCCAGGACGGGTCGACAATCGCGCCCCCCCGCCGCCCCCCCCCCCCCCCTGCATTGCCTTCCTCTTCTTACTCCTTCTCTTCTTCATCCTCCTCCTCAGGACTCAGGACTGCGGGCATTAGATCCACGGATCGTGCTGGCCTTTCCACCCTCCAGCCTTCTTCATGCTCCTTCTTCTCCTCCTCCTCCTCCTCCTCAGGCCTCAGGACTGCGGGCATTAGATCCACGGATCGTGCTGCCCTCCCCCCCTCACCCCCAAGCGGCCTTCGTCGTTTGGGGGGGGGGGGGACGTCCATGAGGAGGGCGCCAATGAGGTACCGCAGGTCCGCGTCGGGATCGATGGGCGGTGGCCTCACTGCTGGCGTTCAGCGTTCACCGCCTGCGACCCAGAATCGTTCGATGACGAACGATTCGACGTTTCGGAAACGGCCGAACGTTGAACGTTGAACGATCCCCGCGATGTCGGACGCCAACTGCGACCCAGAATCGTTCGATGATGAACGATTTGACGTTTCGGAAACGGCCGAACGTTGAACGTTGAACGATCCCCGCGATGTCGGACGCCAACGCCGAAGTCGGCGACCCAGAATCTTTCGATGACGAACGATTCGACGTTTCGGAAACGGCCGAACGTTGAACGCTGAACGCGCCCCGCGACGTCGGACGCCAATGCCGAAGTCGGGCACGCCGCGAGCTTGCCGCAGACGGAGACGGCGGAGCGGCGCGACGGCCTTAACGACGGAAGCTCAAGAGGAAGACGCAGTGGGGGCTACCCATCGGTCGTTGAAAGTAGGTATTCATGGATTCCCAGATTCCAATCTAGTTTCAGCGCCTTCCTACTTCAAGAGTCGAGTCGTTTTCCCTCTTCCTTCCTCTTCAGGAGGCGTGCGGAAACCCAATATATTTCCAGCGCCTTCCTACTTCATGTTTCTACCTACTTCTTCCGACCGATGGGTAGGCTTGTGGAGGGTGCTCAATGGAGAGGAAGCACGTGGCCAAATAATTTCCAGATGTCTACACAATGTTTCAAACACGTGTTACACAGGTTAAAACATGTCGGAGCCATTTTCAGAACATGTTTGACACATTTGAAGCACAATTTAAACTCAATGATAATAAGCAAAATCTAAACTCAATGGTAGGATTGTTAGGGTGTCCATTGTCGTGGCATCCGCATGGCTAGGCGGCTGGCAAAGTGGCGGCATTGGGGCCTGCGCAGTGCGGGTAATCGGGCAGGCGGGGCAGCGAGCAGCAGCAGCAGCAGCAGTAGCAGCACACAGCGCTCTGGCAGGAGCCTCAGGTGGCGGCGGCTCGGTGGTGCGAGGCGGCGGCGAGGTGGGATCGACGCGTAGTGCGGGGGGCCCGCGAACCCTACCCCTACCCCCCACGACTTCTGAGGGGGAGGGTGGGGGTCACTTCGCCTCGGAGGGCTTCCGCACGAGGCGAACCCCCCCCCCCTCCCCTTGGAAATCGTGGGGGGTGGGGGTAGGCTTCACATGTTGCCACCGATCTCTGGCCAGACAGTCGAGGCGAACCCCCCCGTGCTGACGAGAGCTTTCCATGACGAGCAATTGCACTGCCACCGCGCTCTCCCGTGAGGAGCTCCGATCGCGCCGCCGCCCGAGTCGCTGGCGCCCCCGCTCGGCCGGAGGAAAGGGCGCTCCACTCGCAGGCCCCTTCCCCCCCCCCCCCGTGGCGCAGGCCGTCCGGCGGAGCGCGGCGGGGAGGGAGGAAGGCCCGCGAGGGAGCCCCCACCTGGAAGAGAGGACGCTGCTGCAGACAGTGGGTGACCCCCCCCCTCTCCCCCTCCGGGAGCTCCGCCGTGCTCCCGGGCGGGGCCCGGCCGGGTGCCGGGGCGGGCGGGGGGAGCAGGCGGAGGCCGGCAGGCAGGGCGAGCCGGCGGGCAGGCGACGGGGGGGGGCGAGCGGCGACGTCTGCAGCAGGGCGGGGCCCCGAATCATCAGGGGTAACTCGGGTCAGGGATAACTCGGGTTCGTTTTTCGGGAATCCAAACCCGAGTTATCCCGGACCCGAGTTACCCGGGATAATTCGGGCGCCCAAGCAGGGCGGGGCCCCTGGAGGGGGGGGCCCAGGGTCGTCAGGAGGGGAAGAAGCACACAGGCACAAGGACTCGTCGATTCCCCAGAGAATGTGGGAAAGTATGGGGAAGTGAGGGGGGGAGAGAAGCGCGCAGAAGATATGGGAAAGTATGGGGGATTCTGTTATTTGTGTGTATTTATCTGTGTGTCCTAGGGCCCCTTCATGGAGAGGGGCCCACATCCTTCGCGCGGGGCCGAGCCCGGTTTGGGGGTGTTCGGGCCCCAGGGGTGGGGCTTAGGCAGTGCCAGCACATCCCTTTTTCTTATAGTACACGCACCCTGTTGCACCGCCAGACGTGTCCGTAGGCCGGCTCGCTCGAGACTTCCTCATCGCTGATGGTCTTGAAGCGTGAGAATTGCAACAGTCTTGAGCATGGAGGGCGGGCCGTTTTTGTAAATGCAGTTATCGCATCAGCGTTGCGCGCGCTCGCTCTAGAAGTCTGCAACAGGTTCAAGGATGGAGGGCGGGTCATTCAAAACTGAGCTCTCGCCTTAGCGCCGCGCAGATTTGTTTTACATGTTGCAGCAGGTTTTAAGAGTCGAGGTTGATTCGTTTCTAAAACGTTGCTCTTGCCTTAGTGCCGCGCACATTCGTCTTTACAGTTCGCAAGAGTTTCAAGGGCTCGTAATTATGGTTGAAATCCCAAGACTTGTTCTGGCACGATTCAGGATGGTCCGGACGGAGCGGTCACATGGAGTTTCGGTGCCGAATTCCCAGGAATGATGTTCGGGCGCGATTCAGGCTTGGAAGGACGCAACCGTCACGTTGATTCACGGCGTTGAAGTCCAAGGATCCAGGGAATGGCGTTTCTCTTTCACGGTTCAATATTCCCTTCCAAATAATGTCTAGACTTGAACGGGGTTCGAATGTGTGCAATGGTGATTGCAAAGTTGAAGTTGTAGTGCCTCTTCATTGTGTGTTGGCGCGGCATTTCCCATGTTTGGATTCTGCGGGTGTGAGCTCTTTATTGTTTGAATTGTTCGGACGGCGTTGCTTCAATTGTCCACTTCCTTCAATGCGCACCATTTGTAGTAGGTGCCTATGAACGGGGGAACATTAGAGGGAAATGTTCTGGCCACGTCGATGGTGCAACTTGGGTTTCCAATGGTCGTCCCCCTCCTCCCCCTCCTCTTCTCCTCCTCCTCCCCCTCCCCCTTCTCCCCTCCCGCCTCCTCCTCCCCCTCCATCCCCTCCGCCCCCTCTTCCGCCTCCGCCCCCTCCTCCGCCTCCTCCCCCCCATCCCTCCTCCTCCCGCCCCTTCCTCCTCTCCGCCTCCCCCTCCCTCCTCGCCCCCCTCGACAGCAGGAGGCACCTCCGCAGGCAGGTGGCGGCCTGGCGCCCCTCGCTCACCCCCGCCCTGGCGAGCCGGCTGTCGCTGGGCCTGTTCGAGAACCAGTTCAGCAAGCCCGGGCCCATGCGGGAGCCCGCTTTCAAGCAGTGCGTGCATTACCTACCCCGCTTTCGCTTCCAGGCAACACCAAGTCATACCACGCGCCTCCTCGTCAAGCGGCCTGACCAGTACAGGCCGTAGTTTGGCATCGCTTGGTATCTCTTGGAAGCGAGGGTGGTCAAAAGCGAGGTAGGTTTGTCCCCTATTCAAGCAGTGGCGAAGCGTCCTGGCTCGCCTCATAGGCCCACCAAAGAGTGTTCTGAGGACCTGTTGTGGTCTGCGCGAACTGTTCTCAGAACAGTTTTGGATGGGACTGTCTTGTTTTAGCACATCGGGCCTATGTTTTAACGACATCGTTGTTGTTCTCAGGACATAGTTGGGTTCTAAGAATATTTCGTGGTAGGCCTATAGACGGTCCCTGCTCAACTCTTCCCTCGGCCTCGGCCTCCCCCCTCGGCCTCCTCACGGCGAGGCTTCGGGCTGCACATGGGCGCCAACCCCCAGGTAGTCCCGGCGGGCCTCGAAGGGCCTCCCGAGCAGTCCCAGTTGGCCTCAACAGTCCCCCGAGTATCGGGCCGAACAAAAGGGGGGGATAGGGAAAGGGGGAGTTACGAAATCTGCTGCATGCAGCTGGTTTCCGCCCCGCCGCCGGGCCCATTCCTCGAGACATGGGCGCCTCCCGGCGCCGGGAGGCGCTGGGAAAATCAGCTATACGCGAGCTGATTCTCAAACCCCCCCTTTGCTATCCCCCCCCTTTCGCCCGACCCGAGAGCAGTCCCTGATGGGCAAGTTTTCCACCACCACTACCATATGTTGGACAGGGGAGAAGGGAGGATGAGGAGGTCCGCCTCATCTTCCTCCTCCTCCTCCTCCACCTCCTCCTCCTCCTCCTCCTCTTCCTCCTCCCCCTTCGCCCTCTCCTACCTATGGTAGTGGTGGTGGAACCTGGGCCCATCAGTCCCAGTTGGCCTCAACAGTCCCCCGAGTAGTCCGGGGCGCTCTGCACGCCCTGGCGCCGCCTCGGGCAGCTCCCTCGGGGCGCTTCGCGCCCCGAGCTGGAGGCGCTGAGGCCCCCCCAACTGCTCTCAGGAGGGAAAAAACACGCAGACACAAGTAATCGTCGATTCCCTCGAAAAGATGGGGAAATATTGGAAGTGGGGGGGAAGACAAACACAAACACCCAGAAAATATGGGAAAATAGAGGGGGAATCTTTTTATTCGTGTGCGTTTATTTGTGTGTCCCAGGGCCCCTTCAAACTGCTCGGGGGGCCCTGTTGAGGCCAGCCGGGACTGCCTGTGGGGACTGGTCTGTGCGCAGCCCGAAGCCTTACCAATTTCGCGCCTCCTCTTGCTTCTCCCCATCCCTAGCCGTCTGCTGCTGCTCCTCCCTCCTCCTCCTCCTCCTCCTCCTCCTCCTCCTCCTCCTCCTCCTCCTCCTCCTCCTCCTCCTCCTCCTCCTCCTTCTCCTCAAGACGGGGCTTTCGCCTGGACATTGAAGGGCCTTCGGCCCATCCCGCCACCGTGCCTGGATTGTAGGTATGAAGCTTATTGGATGTTCGTTGGGGTCTCGTGGGAGGCCTCTCGGGGGCCTCTTGGAGGCAGGTCGGAGGCCTCCTGGGGGCCATTTGGGGGCCTGTTGAGGCTTCTTCTGGGCCTCGTGGGGTCTTGGGAGTCCCCTGGGTGCCTGTTGGGGCCTCCTGGGGGCCAAGTTTCAAACGTTCGCTGCCGCGAGAATCACTCCCCGCGCGAGAACTTTAGACTCTCCGCGCGAGGTTTTCATTCCCAGCTCCTCGACCTCCGGATGGGCGTTTGCTCCGAGGTTGCACCGTTCCCCCCGTCATCCACCCCCAGTTGGCTTATGGCTGCCGGCCGCTGCGGGACCTTACGCGGTCTCTGAGGGCTCGGGCGTTCCTGCTCGCGCACGCGCGTTTGTTGTCCGCCCTGTCGCCGCGCGCAGGGCCGCGACGTCAAAAGTTAACGCCGAGGTTTGCCACGTGTCGAGCGTGCCCTCGTTGCTCTCGCCACCGCCGCTCCTCCCACCTCCGCGCCTCTTCTGGTGCGGAGCTCGCGCCTCCATGACCAGGTTGCCGCTTCGACCCACGGTGCGGTCGTCACGCCGCCGCAGACCGAACAAGTCTTGAGATCGGTGTATAATCAACCCGCATAGTAAGGATGGTCGACTTTCCAAGGCTACCCTTGCATCCTTGCTCCTCGGCCCATCCTTGGCCGCTTTCGCTGGCCGCGCCACGCTCGCAAGGTGTCGACATGGTCTTCCAGGTCCCTTACATCCTTATCGTGCGTCCTTAGTAGAATGATGTTCCAACATGCTTTAGCTTTGACCGCCAGGAAGAATTTCGAGCACAAAGAAAGTAACGAAACTCGAGGGTTTTCACGTGTCGGGTCCTGGGAGACTCGTCCGAGACTGTTTCGGCATTGTTTCGACACTTTTCCATGGGCTCGAAGATATGTCTGGGATGTGGTCCTTAAGTACGATGGGAGCAACATAATCGTAGTATGCGGGTTGATTGTAACAAACCAAAAGTTGCGATGTTCTGAGCGTGGACAGTGACGCCCGTGCATTGTGAAGTGTTGCCTTTCGGGCAGCCATCATTACAGGTGGACCCAGGCCAAGGCACGGGGGGGGCATGCTAGAACATGTGTTGGAACAAATCAAGAGCTGCTCAACTGATGGTATGAGTTTCGCTATTACATCAGCTCGGATGCTGATGGTATAATCGATGCACCCCAGCATCACTCATGACAAACAGGTGACATGGTGTCGTGAAGTAGATCGTTTGTTTGGTGGTGTTGCTTGCGTAGATTGTGAAGAGTGCGCAAGCAACTACGTTGCTGCGTTGCTTGTTCGTTGCCAGGGCCTCAGTCACTGCTGGTCGTGCTAGTGTTTTTTGTTAGTTTGTTGTTTTTTTGCGGGGGCCGGGGAGGGCATGCTCTTTCTTGCGTTTTGAACCTCCTGGCTTCGTTGCAAGTTGATAGGTCAAGTGTCGCTCACGCGTTGATGTCTTAGCGTCTTCACGGTCGGGTCCCTCCACAACTCTTTGCTAGGCCATCCGTCCACCATCCAAACCGAACCCCAGAGTTTGATGGGATTCGGCATCCCCCTCCCCCCACCGTTCATCCCTTCGTTCCCCGAGGCGCCCTGTCTCTGATCCCCCAGCTGCTTCTCAAGCGTCTTGGTTTTGCCCTGCCGCCGTGGGCTCCGGGGCGGCTGCCAGGGGGGGTGTGGGGGGGGTGCGACGGAGAGGGCTCCGCGCTTCCGCGGGGCAGGAGGAGCGCGGCGCAGTTTTTCCGGCAGCCCCCAGGAGTCGCACAGGAGGCGCGGGATCCTGTGGATCTGGTCCGTTTTCTCGGCGCCGACGTTTCTCGTGCTGGTCGGCAACCACCCCGACGTGCAGGAGTGGTTCATCAGGCACCGGGGGGGGGGGGGGAGCCAGGCAAGGGCGCTCGCGTGGGCAGCGGGGGGGGGGGGGGGGAACGCGAGGGCGGAGGCGGCGAGCGCGCCGCGTTGGAACGCCCGCGCTCTGTGCGCTGAGTGCACCTGGCGTGCAGGGCGAGCAGGCCCCGAGCTGCTTCCACGTATTTGGCGTCGTGTATACCGACGTCCGTCCATTAGTTAACGGGCGAAGAACGGTATACTATTAAACTTTTTCGCTGTCGGGGGCGCCTGTCCCTGGGCGGCTGGAAAGTTTGTACCCTTACGGTGGCACCATAGGGGTATAAACTTTCCAGCCGCCCAGGGACAGGCGCCCCCGGCAGCGAAAAAGTTTATTTGATACCGTGCTTCGCTCGCTGAATTCGTGGAACAAGCAGTAAAACAAACATAAACGCTCGGTTGGCCGCGCGGGTTTCTCGGATCGGCGCTGGGGCCCCTTGGTGGCGCTCCGCGCGCCAGGGAGGGGGGTCCAGCGCCGATCCAATACATCCTCGCGGACCTCCGAGTGTTCATGGTTACATCCCCAGGCCGAAAGATTTTTTCCTCTTGGCGCTGAACCTCACGGTCCCACGCGGTGCACGGGCCTTCTGGGAAATCATAGCGGCGAACCCAATGAGGGTCGCGCGGATCCGATTCCCAGCCTTACCGTAATCGTGAAATCGCGGCGGATCCCATTTCCGTTCGCGCGGATTTTCTGATTTTCGGGATCCGCGTCGGACCTTATTTTTACGGCGGATCACATTTCTACCCCATTGTGAACTTACAATACTAAATTTGTTCCGGGAACCGAGAAGAATGGGATCCGTCGACCGCAGCCCCCCCCCCGTGTTAAGATTCTATGGGGGACGCGGGTGGTCCCCTTCGACGTCAAGCGGAAAATCTCTCGTCCTACGGGGGGCGGGGGTGGCCCTCTTCGACGTCAAGAGGCAAATCTTCCGTCCTGCGTAAGTATGTCGCTGCTTGGTTCCCTTATTCATACGCCTCGACCGTGTGTGCGAAGACCTGTTTACCGAAGGGGAGCTCGGGCCCCCCGTCTAGCCCCCCCGCTGCTCCTGCTCCTCGCAGCCGCTCGGCTCGCGGCCCCCCTTTCTCTCTCTCGGCCCCTGCCTCTCTGGCCTCCCCCGGCGGGGCCTCCCGGGCCTCTTCGGCCTCGTCGGCCTCCTCGGTGGTCTGGGATTCCTCGGCATGGGGCTCCTCGTGATGGAACACGGACGATGTACTCTCGGGTTCCGTGCCATTTTGGCCTGGCGCCAATTTCTCGCCCAAGGGCTGATGTCATTCGTGCCGAGTGCTGGTCGCACGGTTTGATGTCGTATGAGTCATGGCGCGGGGCCTTGCAAGTAACAGAGTAGCCAGGGACGTAATTTTGCATTGGCCATGACTTCGTCTTCTCGTGTGCGCGGAGGTGTGGGGTTGGAGTGCCCCAAGCAGCTCGTGTATACATGGAGATATTTGATGCTCTCGACCTCTGTACTTTCTGTGGTGCCCACTGGGTCTTGGACTCAAGCCAGCACTGGTAATACAGCAGCAGTCACAATCGATGATACGATGGTTGGTTTTCACCTCGCCCCCTTAACATCTGCCTCTCCAGGCTCTTCCGCGTCGTCGTCATCCTCGCCTTTGGCGAGACGCGCGAGCCTCTTTCGATAGATGTGGCGAGTACGCTCGTTCAAACTGCGCCGCCCCCCCCCCACGGGTGGCACGGACAAGTATCCAAGCGGATGCGTGGCCTTGGTGTTGCAGCCAGGTTATGATGTCTTTGCAATTGGGCATCGTCCTCCGCTGCCGTCGGCATCTGGAGCAGGGGTCGACCCAAACTGGGTGTGGGCGATTTCGTGGGCCGTTGTCGTGTCGACTTCGTTTCGCAGCAAATGCGGATTGGAGGTAAAACGAGGGGCAACGAACGCAAAACACTTTTTAAGTCGATCCCTGATCTGGAGAAGATGTTGCTTTCTTCCGGATCGTTGTTTCTTGAGCTGAGTCTGCGCTCAGGGAGTACAAGCCGATCGAGTACCCTGCGCAGTCCGACCCCAGCATCATCTACAACATCGTCCACGACAGGCCTCAGCCGCTGACTGCCGCTCCGAAAGCAACGCCGTTGTTCGATCTCTGCTGTTTCTGCTTGCTCCCTGCGCCGTGCCTTTGGGGGTGGAATCGGGAAGGAGCTGTTTTACCTCAAGGTCCAGGCGATCGCAAACATGGATCAAGGAGGCCTGGATTAGCGACGGGTCCCGTTTCCATGGGTAATCGCGGACTTCCGTTGCCGCACGAGGCGGCATTGGCCGCATTCTGGGGAGGGCACCTCCCCCGATTCATGGATTTGGCGACCGTGCGCCAAATCCATGGATCGCTGATCCATGCCTGCGCGCCCACGAAATGTCCACGGCGGCATCTTCAGTGTCTGGCAGCATGTGCCTCGTGCAGGGTGCCTCCTGGAGCTGCAGGCTGGCCTGGCCAGTTCTGCGGTGACCCAGGAGCGGTCGCCAGGAGCCTTGGCTGGGCGCAACCCCGAAGAGACGAGTTTTTTCAAGCTCCCCTGGTCGTTCCGAGTGCCATACGTGTGAGGATCGGGAGCCATGGATACGGATAGCATTCGGTATGTCCGGAAAGTCCAGGGCGGGTGTGGAAATGATAGCGAGTTGCATGCGGACGAGCAGGATGTCGACCATTGCCCATTGCCATTGGAATGCGAATTTGGCATGACAGAAACACTGGCAATGTTGAAGCAGCACGTGCGGTTTTATTGATCACTACCTGATCGCTTCGCGTATTCCACCAGCCCGTCCAGGAATGATGCCCAGGGGAGCTGTCCCAATAGGGGGAGCGTGGCATCATCGGGATACCTTCGGGAATCCTCCTTGGGTGTCTTGCGGTGTTGGAGGCCTCTTTGGGTGTCTTGGGAGCTTCATGCTGGTTCTTGGTGGCCTTCTCGGAGGCCTCGTGAGGGCCTCATGAGGCTTCTGTGGGGCCGCTTGGGCGCCTCTTCGAGGCCTCTTAGGTGCCCCTTGGGTCTCTTGAGGGCACATTGTGTGCTTGGGGGCTTTTCGGGTCGCCTTAGAGGCATCCTGAAGGCTACTGGGTAAACAAGGGGCCGGCGTCAATTAGTCTCGCCCGCCCAGAAGGCCAACATTGGCCAAAACCCTGATGAACAATGAGTTTCGTCTTTCGCGCTGGGGCCTTCTTGGTCAGTCTAGCCCCTCGCGACCCCCCCGTCCTCCAGACCCAGGGGGAGGGGGGTAGCGGGAGGGGCAAACCATTTTTTCTGAAGGGGAAGAATGGAGGAGATGCGCGAGGACGCCCAGATGGTTGGCGGGATTCGCCATCTACAGTTGCCTGCGGTCCTTCCACCAGCGGCTGCCCGTGAAGGGCGCCTCATTCCAGTAGCGCTTCTGAGCCCGTTGATGCTCGTCTGTTTGCTCTGTGCCTCCATCTCCGCTCGCCCGCGAGGTCTGACCATCTCTGCGCTTGGGCCTCCGAGAGGGGTTCGCCCTGAACTGTCGCGATCAGTCGGTCATCATTTAGGAGGGGAAGAAACACACAGACACAATTAATCGTCGATCCCCAGGAAAATATGGGAAAATATGGGAAGTGGTGGGGAAGACAAAAACTCAGAAAATATGGGAAATTATGGGGAATCTTTTTATTTGTGTGTATTTATGTGTGTGTGTGTGTGTTTGTGGGCCTCTTCAATCATGGCGGAGCAAGATGCACATGCATGCCGCGCGTTTGCAGGAACAGTCAGACACACCACGGAGTCCACCAACGAGACGGCCCCTTCGAGCTGTGAGCGGGCGTCGTGCATCCATCGTGCCTATGAGCAGCTCAAGGTGATCCCCATGCAAGCACATCTGAACTTCGCGCGGCATGCTTGCGGCTCGCGCCAGTCGCATTGGACGCGTCGAGAGCATACAGTGCCGTTTTTTATAATGCTCCGCGTGCGGATCATGTGTTAAAAATGCAGGAATTCAGTACTAAAAACAACGATGAGTTCATGCGTAAACTCATTCATAAGTTAATCATGTATTAAACATCCTATATGTTTAAAAGTCCAATGTATTAAAAACTGCCCTGTATGCTGATAGGGCACGAGGGCTCCGCTCCCCCCACCCCCTAATGCTGATGGGAACGCCCCCCCTGGCTGGATGGATACGCCCGTGAGCCTCGCGCAGGCCTCGCGAATGGGATCGCCCCCCCCTGGTCGTGGCCTTATGGGCATGCGTGGTGGTGGGTGTGGTGCTGGTGCACCCCCCCCTCCGCCCTTCCCCTGCGGATGGGTGTTTCGTCCTCGTCTTCCGTCGGCGTCGGCGTCTTCCGTGATCGGCGGCGGCTTCGTGAACGTTGTCGTCGTCCCATCGTGGAATCCTGGAACCCATCCCATCTTGAGGGGGTGTCGTGATCCCTCGACCCGAGATCATATATATATATATATATATATATATATAATCATATATATATATGTGTGTGAGCTGGGATTGTTGCTCGATGTGCTGTCAGTCTTGTGGGGAAGCCCGTGATGAGGGGGCGGGCGTCTGGCAGCCCGTCCTTTCCAAGGATGGTATTGGATCCCCAGGATTCTGAGTTCCTGGCCTACCCTTTCACAGAGAGTCCGTCTGCATTCAAGCGCATGCCTATTCCCGTGGTTTTACCTTCTCCGTGGTTTTATTCAGCATCTGCACTGCTATATCGGTGGTAGAAAACTGGTCTAATCCAGCATCTTTCGCTTAGCTTCGCTGAATCCCATGTGGAACGGCTTATGTTTGGGCTTAACCTAGGCCAGACCAGCTTAGTGACGATTTTATCGGGCTCGATAGCCTATCGTTCTCACGAAAACCTCGCAGAAGTTGTCCCATAGCTCAATCAAGACGAATCCAGAACATACAATGTTCGCAACTTCGCGCAGATTTCTTGGATCTTCCTTGCGCCCGCGCGCATTAGGGAGGGTGTACCAGTTCAGATCCAAAACATCCGCGCGACTTTTCGACTATTTATGTTCATTCGGGGAAGCGTAAGACTCGAGTAAGTCGGAAGTCGGGTTTGCCCAAGTTTTGTGACGAGCGCGTCCTGGATTTTGACGGTCTGGCTTTCGTGGGATGTCTGCAGCGGGGGCCCGCGTCAAATGTCAGACTGGGTCTCGTCATTTTCATGATGGCCCCCGTCAGGCCAACCCAAGTCCCCCGTGCCCGAGTCTTACGTCTCCTCGGTTCATGCAGAAGTTCCGTTTTTTTCCCGGAAAGGGCATGAGCCCAGGGTTCTCTTTTAGTTGGTAAACCTGTCCCCCGGTGCCAACTTGAGGGAGGCCGGCGAATTTTTTCCCTGATAAATAACGAGGTCGAAGGAGGCCGGCGAATTAAAATTTGAGGATGTCTCGAGCGAAACGCTTGTTTTTGAAATCCCGATCGATAAATCACAGGGTGCGGGCCACTTTTTCGTGTGTTGAGGATGTCTCGAGCGAAACGCTTGCTCCGCAGAGTTTGCCGAGGATGTCTCGAGCGAAACGCTTGTTTTGCAGAGCCGACCGCGACGCGGAAAAGCGCCCCGCGCGAAGGAATTTCGATGATGTCTCGACTAATTCCTTTGTTTTTGTACGATTTCCTGGAATTTTGGCAGGATGTCTCGAGCGAAATGCACGACACGACCACCCCAGCACGACCACACCCCAGCACGACCAGACCCCAGCACGAGCACGACCCCACCCCAGCACGACCACACCCCAGCACGACCCACACCCCAGCACGAGCACGACCACCCCAGCACGACCCGACCCCAGCACGACCCTACCCCAGCAAGACCACACCCCAGCACGACCACACCCCAGCACGACCTCACCACAGCACGACCACACCCCAGCACGACCACGCCCCAGCACGACCACGCCCCAGCACGACCACCCCCCAGCACGACCACCCCACGAGCACGACCACCCCCAGCACGACCACCCCCACGAGCACGACCACCCCAGCACGACCACACCCCAGCACGACCACACCCCAGCACGACCACACCCCAGCACGACCCCACCCCAGCACGACCCCACCCCAGCACGACCCCACCCTAGCAAGACCACACCCCAGCACGACCACACCCCAGCACGACCTCACCACAGCACGACCACACCCCAGCACGACCACGCCCCAGCACGACCACGCCCCAGCACGACCACGCCCCAGCACAACCACCCCCCAGCACGACCACCCCCCCAGCACGACCACACCCCAGCACGACCACCCCCCAGCACGACCACACCCCAGCACGACCACTCCCCAGCACGACCACACCGCCTTGGTTGAGTGGTTGCCTGTCGTCGTGGAATGTTTCGTGGGGTGTCTCGTGGAATGTTTCGCGGGGTGTCTCCTGGAATGTTTCGTGAGGTGTCTCGCGGAATGTTTCGTGAGGTGTCTCGTGGGATGTTTCGTGAGGTGTCTCGTGGGATGTTTCGTGAGGTGTTGCCCCGTTGGGTATCGTGAAAACGTGCCCATGCTCCACATGTCTATATCCCTTTCCGGGTTCGTGGGTCCATCATGTTATCCACCCTTCCGTGTTGCGATGCACAGCGGCACCGCCTGATTCCGGGGCTTTGCCCTCTCTTGGCCTTGACGTGAGGCCCCTCCTTCTGCCTTCCCCCCCTCTGTCAATTCAAGCTGAGCGCGGCCCGCTCAGCCTCGAACGGGAGAGGCTCGCTCTCGACCCGCGGACCAAGTGTTGCGATGCACTCTGCCCGAATCTTTGGCCTTGCGACGTACATGAGTCGTACATGAGTCGTGTATATTATCGCTGTCCGCTTCCATCTCCTGCTCCTCCCAACAAAAAGCAGTTGCGATGCACCGCTCCGCCGAGAGGCCTCCCACCGGGGCCTCCTCGATGGACAGCTACCGGCAGCAGCAGCGCCAGCTGCGGCCCGAGTGAGCGCGGGCCGCCTGTGCAGACCCCGCGAACCGCGCGGAGCCTGGCCCGCCCCGTGGCGAAACGGCTCTCTGCTGCTCCTCCTCCTCCTCCTCCTCCTCCTCCTCCTCCTCCTCCTCCTCCTCCTCCTGCCCCCTCCTCCTCCTGCTCCTCCTCCTCCCCCCTCCTCCTCCTCCTCCTCCTTCTCCTCCTCCTCCTCCTCCTCCTTCTCCTCCTCCTCCTTCCACACCTCCGCCTCCTCCTCCTCCTCCACCTCCTCCTCCTCCTCCTCCTACTCCTCCTCCACAGCGTTGGGTGGAGGTGATTGGCGTGTGTTCTACCACCATCACCATAAGTTGGAGGGGGAGGGGGCCCTCCTCATTCTCCTCCTCCTCCTCCTCTCATTGGCTCGCATGGATGCCAAGCAAGGCTTCACAAACACGACCCTCAGTTGCCAGCGCAGTGTCTCATATGTGGTGAGGCCAAAGGCAGTTTGTTCCATCATCATTTCGAGTGCCCACCTCGACAAGCTTGGAGGAGGGATTTCCTCCCACAGGATCTTGTCTCCTCGGTAAGACGCTTGCGGGAGCCTTTGCAGGAGCGTTTTTCCCGGAAAGGGCTGGGGCCCAGGGTTCTCTTTTAGTTGGTAAACCTAATCCCCCGGTGCCAACTTGAAGGAGGCCGGCGGATTTTTTCCCTGATAAATATCGAGGTCGAAGGAGGCCGGCGGATTAAAATTTGAGGATGTCTCGAGCGAAACGCTTGTTTTTGAAATCCCGATCGATAAATCACAGGGTGCGGGCCACCTCAGCACGACCACACCCCAGCACGACCATGCCCCAGCACGACCACACCCCAGCACGACCCCGCCCCAACACGACCACACCCCAGCGCCACCACGCCCCAGCACGACCACACCCCAGCACGACCACACCCCAGCACGACCACACCCCAGCACGACCCCACCCCAGCACGAGCCCACCCCAGCACGACCACACCCCAGCACGACCACACCCCAGCACGACCCCACCCAAGCACGACCACACCCCAGCACGACCACGCCCCAGCACGACCACTCCCCAGCACGACCCCGCCCCAGCACGAGCCCACCCCAGCACGACCACACCCCAGCACGACCTCACCACAGCGCGACCCCACCCAAGCACGACCCCACCCCAGCAAGACCACACCCCAGCACGACCACACCCCAGCACGACCTCACCACAGCGCGACCTCACCACAGCACGACCACACCCCAGCACGACCACGCCCCAGCACGACCACGCCCCAGCACGACCACCCCCCAGCACGGCCACCCCCCAGCACGCACACACCCCCCAGCACGACCACACACCCCAGCACGACCACACCCCAGCACGACCACTCCTCAGCACGACCACACCCCAGCACGACCACACCACAGCACGACCACACCCAGTCGCACTCCCGTGGAATGTTTCGTGGGGTGTCTCGTGGAATGCCGTCGTCGTCCTCGTCCGCGATGTGCTTTGGTTGAGTGGTTGCCTGTTCGTGGGGTGTCTCGTGGAATGTTTCGCGGGGTGTCGCGTGGAATGTTTCGTGAGGTGTCTCGTGGAATGTTTCGTGAGGTGTCTCGTGGGATGTTTCGCGGGGTGTCTCGTGGGATGTTTCTTGAGGTGTCGCCCAGTTGGGTATCGTGAAAACGTGACCGTGCTCCACATGTCTATATCCCTTTCCGGGTTCGTGGGTCCATCATGTTCAAGAGGGATCCTTCCTGACCCCTGCCAAGCTTTCTCCCGCCCTAGGTGTAACCCTGTGTGGGGGTTCAAGGTTGAAAGGCACGCGCCGCCCCTGGCGCTTGACGGTGGCCATGGTTTGTATGATGGCTCAGGAGTGGATTGGTTCGTTTCTGTGTTTTCGAGTTGCTGGTTGGGGAGTGGCAATCTATGATCATGAGCGCCGACCCCTGGCGGGGTAGTATGGAGCGGTCCCCCCACCGTCGGGCCCCGACCAGGTGGCTCAGGACGGAGAAGAGTATGCAATTCTTATGGCCCTCAAGCATGTCGTAGGCAAGTGCACGATCGATTCCGATTGCAAAGGGACGGTGCAGTGCTGCTGGGACGCCAGATACGCGCAGCGGCCTGGCAGCATCAGAGCTCACCTGTGGAAGGAGGCTGTTCGGGAAGGAGCGCTTGAGCTGGTGGACTTCTGTCATCGGAGCGTGAATTACCTACCCCCGCTTTCGCTTCCAGGCAAAACCAAGCCATACCACGCGCCCCCTCGTCAAGCGGCCTGATCAGTACAGGCTGCAATTTGGCATCGTTTGGTATCTCTTGGAAGCGAGGGTGGTCAAAAGCGAGGTAGGTTTGTTTCCCCCTATGTAAGGTAGCGGCCCATACCTCCATGGCCGACGTTCGGAAAGGACGGATCGGCCTGTTCGAGAGGGAGCCAGCGGCTGCGCCCCGCCGAGAGCGCTCGGCGGGGGGGGGGCCGGGGTCGCCCCGAGCGGCAGCAGGAGAGCCGAGTTCTGACACGCTAAGGGGGGCGGGAGGTCCGCGCGGACCGCCGAGAGTTCACGTCGATACAGTCCTGCCGCTCGGACGTGTGCATTTTTCCTTCGGCGAGGACCATCGAGGAACGTCCTTGATCATTTCGCGATAGCCACGCACGAAACCGAAAAAAGCACAGGAACTGGACGTCCGAGCGATGGCCAGAGGCGGAGTGGAAGGAGGAGGAGGAGGAGGAGGAGGAGGAGGAGGAGGAGGAAGGAGGCGGTCGTCCTCAATGCTGTGCTCAGGTTCTCTCCGTGGTGTCGCCCCGGTCACGCCCCCCGCCCGCGAGCAGAGGGGGCGATGCCAGCGGTCGTGTTGGCCTTTTCTCTCTGGTCCGGTTTGCCTACTCGTGTGCGGAGCCGTGTGGGCCGGGCCCGATAGGGGTGGGAGGGGAGTGGAGGGGGTGCGGAGAAGCAAGAGGGTGGAGATGAGGCGGAGCAGCAGGGATGCAGCCGAAATGTCGAAAGACGGACCGCATTGGGCTCAGCAGGGATCGATCTAATCGATCTGTGGCGGGAAGCCTCTTCGTAGCCGAGGCTCGCCGTGGCCAGAAAAGTTATTTCGTTCATTATTCCGCGTTCCTTATGGCAGCACGATGACTGTATGAGAAAGAGAAGCAACAATAATATGACAGGGAAGCAGAGGAAGAGGAGAAGGAGGAGGAGGAGGAGGAGGCGCGGATCACGCAAACATGTACCCACCATGTGACACAGTTCTGGTGTTCCCCGTCGGAGCTTCTGATGCCCAGCATCGCGGACGACGCTCGCCACGAGAGTGACACATTTGGGCATGTCAGCTCAATTGCCCAGCGTTGCCCCACGCTGACCCAGCTTGCGCCAGCAGTCGAGCCTCACTTCCCCCCCTTGCTCGCTGCCGAAGTGCGTCCTGCGGCAGGCACTCGTCAGGGGCAACGTCAATTCGGCGCCAGCCAACCACGGGAGCCATGTGCACCCCCACGAATCCGGTTGCAGAGTGCACTAGCATCGATTGGCGCCTGGCGATCGAAGAGGCAGCGCCGATTTACGAGTGCCGGTCAGCGTCGGTCAGCGTTGGGCGAGCGTCGCTTCGCAAGAGCCAAGAACATGGCATGGGAGGCTCCCACGAGTTGCCGCAGAAGGGGGTGACTGGCTCGGGAGGTTCGCGGTTCGAGGTCTCCAGACGTCTCCTCGGTCCCCGGCGGTTTTCCAGCCCCGGGATGCCTTCCAGCAGCTGCGCTTGGCCGAGAGCGTTCCAGGGGTGCCCGGATCTCAGAGGAGGACAAGGTACCCATCCCGCTACCCTTCCCTCGTTTTCGCATTCCTGGGCTTCCTGAGGATGCCCTCGTCGCCACCGCTGGATTCGCCTCGAAATTCTTGTCAGAACGCACTCCTGGGGAGTAGCAGTATCGGTATTTTCTTGGTTTCCCAAGGATCGTCCCGAACGGCCGCAAGAGAGCAGTGATGACTCGAACGCCAAGTGGGGCAACGGCAGGGGGGACACACTCTGGACAGGATGCATCGACCCCCAGACCTCCAGTCAAGCAGGATCAGGCTGAGGCGGCCCAGGCAGAAAGATCAATCGCTTCAGAGCTCTTAAGAGCTTTCCGAGCGGCCGCGGCGTGTGACGAACCTCACCCAGCCCCGCCGGAATTCAATGGCCCCCGACACTTCGTGCATCTGATGCAGATGTTGTCTTCTTCCTGGCGTCGTTCTACCTTTGTGGAGTTGGGTGCCTCCCCCCTTCAGGGGCACCCTAAGGGACGGACGTGCTCAGGGGGGATGCATGTATTCCCCATCGCCTCCTCCTCCTCCTCCTCCTCCTCCTCCTCCTCCTCCTCCTCCTCCTCCTCCTCCTCCTCCTCCTCCTCCTCCTCCTCCTCCTCCCCCCCCCTGGGAAAGTCTTCCCATGGCGTTGCCCCTCGTCCTTGCTGTTCTGGCGTGGCAATCTCAGAGTGCACGGAAGCACGCAGTGGAGGTCCATGCCAAGAGACACTTTGCTTGCCTCCAGGGTGCCCTGGGTTTCCTGCGTTTCGATGGTTTTCCTGTGGGAGACGTGACGTTTTCACACCACACAATGATGGATGTCCTGGGGTTCCAGGGTTGGGCTTCTTGTGTGATGATGTTCCAACCTACTTTAGCCTTGATCACCAGAAACAATTCGAGCACCAGAAGAAAAATACCGAAACTCTAGGGTTTTCACGTGTTGGGCCCTGGGAGACACTCGTCCGACACCGTTTCGACACTCTTTCGAGACTCTTTCGACACTTTCTTGGGTGCTCGAAATTAGTTCTGGGATGTGGTCCTTAAGTACGATGGGGGCAACACAATTCTTGTGGAAGGTTTCTTGTGGTCGGGCCCCTGCTGTAGATCAGCCGCGAGGACGCGGAGGTGTTCGCTCTCCCGGGTCGCGGCCTGGGCCAGAGCGGCTGCCTTTCGCCGGGCGGGCGGCGGAGGGGGCGCGAGGGCGCGAAGGTATCCGCGCGCCTTGCCTCGCGGGGCGCGATGCGAGCTCGGCGACCTTGAATCTCGGGGTGCAAAGGCAGTCGGCGGCGAGGAGGAGGAGGAGGAGGAAGAGGAGGAGGAGGAGGAGGAGGAGGAGGAGGAGGAGGAGGAGGAGGAGGGGAGAGGGGGAGGAGGGGAGGAGGAGGAGGAGGAGGAGGAGGAGGAGGAGGAGGAGGAGGCTGGATATTCGCTAGCGAGGCTCTTCTCGGCCACCTCGAGCCGCAGACGGCCGGCAGCGCAAGGGAGCGCGATGTCTCCAGCGATGCCCTTCGAAGACACCCTCGAGCCGCAGTCGGCGGCAGCGCCTCCGAGCGACCTGAAGCCAAGGGGCGATCGCAAAACAATACCTTCATTCCAGGTTGGTCCCCCCAGAGTCCATTCGATCCGATCGATCCGGTTCGATATCGGTTCCACCCGGCTCGATCCGACTCAGTTTCGAGACTTTCTCCGGCGATCATGGTGCGCACCGATGCTTGCGTGGCGCTGCTGTGCGTCCCGGCGCGGCCGATCCGAGTCGATTTCGACTCCGTGCCGATGCCGCCCGATCCGACGCACAGCCTGTTCCGATCCGAGTTCCCCGTTCGATGCTGGTTGATTCTGCCCCCCTCGGGCTCGTGCGACGGCTCCGCCCCGCCGCCCCGCCCCGCCCCTCCTCTGCGCCCCCCAACTTGGGCCGGGGAGGCCGAGGCGCCCAAGTCGGACTCGCTGGCCGCGCTGCTGGGCGCGAGCCGCCGACGCCGCCCAGCGCCCCGACCTCCAGCCAGTCAAGCCTGGGAAGAGGATGCATCGCCCCAGAGCGATCCAGAACTGCCGCGGCGCCTGGTGAATCTCTCGGGGGCTCGCAAACGGGTGCGGTGAGCACACCATGTGGTGAGTCAAGTCGGTTTCGTGGTGACAGCACGGTGTTAGGACTCGGGTCGTGTTCCCAGGGTGACTCGGGCGACTGGGGCCTCGAAGGTCCCAAAACCATGCGGTGACAGACCGTGCGGTGAGATCTTTGGGTATTCCGCGGTCACCGCACGGTCCGTAACCGCACTGTCTTGGGACCCCCAAAGGCCGACGTTCGTGGCGTCGTCCCACCTTTAGGCACTTGGGGGCTTCCCTCCTTCACGGCAATGCTCAGGCTGGAGTGCATCCACCCCCTATCGCCGTCTCATCGCCGATAGGAGCCCGATGGCTCCGCGATCGGGACCATTGCCGATGTGCAGTGGAGGCCCTTGCCAAGAGACACCCTGCGTTCCTCCAGGGTGCCCTGGGTTTCTTGGGTTTCCATGGTTTTGCTGTGGGAGGCGTGACGTCCCCACGCCCAACATCGATGCACGTCCTGGGGTCTGAGGCTTGGGCTTCTCGTGGAGGGTCTCTCGTGGACTGGCCTCCACTGCAGAGCCGATGCATCGCTGATTTCAGCTCGACGGCTCTCCCCCCCCAGATCCAGTCCGCCCCTGCCGTTCCCCTCGAGCCCAGTGGTAGCCAAGCCAGCCCAGCGGCGGCGGTGGCCAACGGCGCTCCTCGTAGGCCTCTCTTGCCACCGCAGCGCGCGTCGTGTTCGTGGTGGCTCGTTTTTTCCCGGAAAGGGCGCCGGCCCAGTGTTCTCTTTTGGTTGGTAAACCTGTCCCTGGTGCCTCAACTGAGGTGGGCCGGCGGATTCTTTCCTTGATAAGTATCGAGGTCGAGGTGGGCCGGCGGATTAGACTTTCAGGATGTCTCAGGCGAGACGCTTGTTCCCAACCATCTTGTGGTGTTGGGTCCTCGTTTTGAAGAGACGGTGCCCCGCGTTCTCCTTCCTTCCTCCCGCTGCCTCCTCCCCCCTCCCATCATCATCATCAACACCCATTTCGGCATACCCCTCACACGTTTCGTGGCTCCATAGGGAGCTCCACCGAAGGCCCCAGTGCCCGCGGCCGCATGCGTCCCCCACACCCATTTCGGCACACCCCTCACACGTTTCGTGGCTCCATAGGGAGCTCCACCGAAGGCCCCAGTGCCCGCGGCCGCATGCGTCCCCCACACCCATTTCGGCACACCCCTCACACGTTTCGTGGCTCCATAGGGAGCTCCACCGCTCCAAGGCCGCATGCGTCCAGCACACCCCTCACATCCAGTGCCCGCGGCCGCATGCGTCCCCCACACCCATTTCGGCACACCCCTCACACGTTCGTGGATCCATAGGGAGCTCCACCGAAGGCCCCAGTGCCCGCGGCCGCATGCGTCCCCCACACCCATTCGGCACACCCCTCACACGTTTCGTGGCTCCATAGGGAGCTCCACCGAAGGCCCCAGTGCCCGCGGCCGCATGCGTCCCCCACACCCATTTCGGCACACCCCTCACACGTTTCGTGGCTCCATAGGGAGCTCCACCGAAGGCCCCAGTGCCCGCGGCCGCATGCGTCCCCCACACCCATTTCGGCACACCCCTCACACGTTTCGTGGCTCCATAGGGAGCTCCACCGAAGGCCCCAGTGCCCGCGGCCGCATGCGTCCCCCACACCCATTTCGGCACACCCCTCACACGTTTCGTGGCTCCATAGGGAGCTCCACCGAAGGCCCCAGTGCCCGCGGCCGCATGCGTCCCCCACACCCATTTCGGCACACCCCTCACACGTTTCGTGGCTCCATAGGGAGCTCCACCGAAGGCCCCAGTGCCCGCGGCCGCATGCGTCCCCCACACCCATTTCGGCACACCCCTCACACGTTTCGTGGCTCCATAGGGAGCTCCACCGAAGGCCCCAGTGCCCGCGGCCGCATGCGTCCCCCACACCCATTTCGGCACACCCCTCACACGTTTCGTGGCTCCATAGGGAGCTCCACCGAAGGCCCCAGTGCCCGCGGCCGCATGCGTCCCCCACACCCATTTCGGCACACCCCTCACACGTTTCGTGGCTCCATAGGGAGCTCCACCGAAGGCCCCAGTGCCCGCGGCCGCATGCGTCCCCCACACCCATTTCGGCACACCCCTCACACGTTTCGTGGCTCCATAGGGAGCTCCACCGAAGGCCCCAGTGCCCGCGGCCGCATGCGTCACCCCCACCCATTTCGGCACACCCCTCACACGCTTCGTGGCTCCATAGGGAGCTCCACCGAAGGCTCCAGTGCCGCCGCCCGCATGCGTCACCCCCACTCATTTCGGCACGCCCCCCGCATTTCTCGCACGGCAGGGTCATCACCACGGTGGCGTGCCAGGGGCGCACCATGCGCGAAGGCGACGGGGCGGGGGAACGGCGCTCCGGGGGCGGCCAGACCTCCGGGGCGCGAGCAGTCCGCGGCCAGACCATCTCTCGGTCCTGTGGACTCTCGCCCTGGGCCGTCGGCTGCCCGGCGCGCTGCTCCCTCGGTCGACGTCGCCCAGGCGTGATCCTGGATTGCGGCCGCCACGAGGTAGGGAACGGCAAGAAGGAGGACGACGACTGGTGGCTGGAGCTCTACGTGCTGCTCTCGCGCGCCACGCGCCACGAGGACCTCCTGCTCATGCGGGCGCCGCGCATCGAGTTCTTCCTGGCAGGGCCGCCGCAGGGCTTGCGGAAGCAGCTGGAGCAGTTTGCGGCGCGCACGAAGCGGCGCAGGAGGGAAGCGACGGCCCTCGCCAGGGAGCTCGGCTTCACCGAGTTCATCCGCGAGGCCTGACCTGAGGAGCGTCTCCCCCGAGCCGCGCCTTCTCTCGACTGCCCGACTAATTGTTTGGCCTCGCGCCGCGGACGACCCGCGCGCGTCGCTGGGACCCTCTCGGGGCGACCAGCGCGCGTCGCGGGAACTCCGTGCTGCGGGGGGCCCGGCGCCTCGTTCGCCCGTCGTCGCTCTGCCCAGCGGTCAGAGACTTGCCCGCTATCAGCCAGCCAGTTAGCTAGTCAGCTCTCTCTGCTTCGCGCAGCGGACGACCCGCGCGCGTCGCTGGGACCCCGCCCGGGGCGACCAGCGCGCGTCGCGGGGGCTCCGCGCTGCGCTGCGCCCGCAGCCTTGGCTTTTGGAGTGCGCGGGCAAAGAGGAAGGAAAAGAAGAGCCGAAAGCGGGCGCGATCCTCGCAAGGGGCGTGCCGACATGGGCGTCGCGACGTGCGGACGCTGCCGTCGGGGTTCCCGCGGAAGCTGCCTGCGGCGGCCACGCCCAGTGTCACGTGTGTTCGGACAGGCATGCTCGACACTTACACTAGGCGGTTCCATGATCGCATTCATGCAAATATATTCACTCGCGCGCAGACCCATTCATACTCAGATTCCCTCGCGCTCTGACTCACCCGCGTTCTTTCTCTCGTAATCAGATCTATCGTATTCCTTTGCGTTGTGTGCCCCGCCACATTTCGGCACACCCCTCATGCGGTTGGTGGCCCCATAGGGAGCGCCACCGAAGAAGATATTCACAATTGCGATACTCACAACTGCATATGGTTGGGTCCTTCGCCAGGATAATGTTTGAAATCCCGATCGATAATCATAGGGTGCGGGCCACTCTTTCGTGTGTTGAGGGTGTCTCGAGCGAAACGCTTGCTCCGCAGAGTTGCCGAAGATGTCTCGAGCGAATCGCTTGTTTTGTAGAACTGGAGAGATCTGGGCGCCCCAGAGATTTGCCTTCTCCAGGTGCACGAACCCGTGTGTTTTTACGTATACCCATCGGTCGTTGAAAGTAGGTATTTTTGGATTCCCAGACTCCAATCTATTTTCAGCGCCTTCCTACTTCAAGAGTCGAGTGGTTTTCCCTCTTCCTTCCTCTTCAGGAGGCGTGCGGAAGCCCAATCTATTTTCAACGCCTTCCTACTTCATGTTTCTACCTACTTTTTCCGACCGATGGGACGCCAAAAATGTGCCCTCTCCAGGTGCACGAATCCATGTGCTTTTACGTATGTGCGTATAGATTTGATTTCTCCAGGGGCGCGAATCCGTGTGTTTCTACGTATGTGCCCGGCGGTGGAGCAGGAGATGCCAGTGATCGTCGATTGGCGGCGGGTTCTCCTCGGGGCGCGTGGCGGCGCGTGCGCCGCCGCCGTCGTTGGTGGGCCGTCGGGGACTCCAGCGGACGGAAAGATGCATGCCGACGCCTCTGCGCGCGCCAGAGGGCCCGCGTCGCCACGCCTGGATTCTCGGGCCGGGCGAAAGGGGGGGATAGGGAAAGGGGGGGTTACGAAATTTGCTGCATGCAGCTGGTTTCGGCCCCACCGAGGGGCCCATTCCTCGATACATAGCCGCCTCCGGCGCCGGGGGGCGCCGGGAAAATCAGCTACGCGAGCTGATTCTCAAACCCCCCCTTTGCTATCCCCCCCTTTCGCCCGACCCGAGATTCGCCCCGAAGTCTTGGGGGGAGGTTCGGGGGCAGCGTCCGCGTCGTGCCCCCCGCCCCCGCCACGGGAGTTTCTCAGGGAGCAGAGCGGCAGGCGTCCGCTGCTCAAAATACGGCGGGGTCTAGAGGGCCAGGAGCTGAAGCAGATCGAGGCCCCCTTCCCCATCCTGCTCTAGCTTCCATCCTCCTCCCAAAGGTTGCGGGGGCGGGGGGGGCCTTGATCTTCCTCGTTCTCCTGCTTCTCGAGACCCGCGGCGGTGCGTCGTGATCGTCGTGCTTTGAGAGGCGGCTGCAGCGTGCTCTAATTAGTTATTCGCGGTGCCTCTCACCAGGATAAGGTTGCGGAGGCCCGCCCTGACGAGATTGCGGAGTTCCACCGGGGAGAGAGAAAACGTGCATACACATGTATAGCACGCACGCAAGATTCCACATGATGTATAGGTATTCCACTATAGTACAGAGCAGTATAGCACACACGTAGTACTCGATTATATCATTATAAGCATTGTATATTACAAGCGTAGTACCCGTAGTATAATGTAGCGAATTTGTTTTATAGTTCATAATTGAATATGGCATTGCAGCCATTATACGACAATTCTGCGGTTGTTAATGCTAATTTGGGAAAGTAGGTCGTGACCTGTTTAGACGAACCTCTTGATGAGCAGTTAGGACCTGGCAAACCATGGGAGCCCAAGAAACCCAGGGCACCCTGGAGGCAAGCAGGGTGTTTCTTGGCATGAGTTTCCACTGTAGGCTCAAGTCGGGCACGTCCCTCTACAGGAAAATATTCAAAAATACTCCAAACAAATCTGGGGACAACCAGTTAACCATTCTTGGGTATCCCCGGATATCTTTTGAATTTGCATTTTTCGTCCAAAATCCGCCTGAAAGAGGACATGCCCGACCTGACTGTAGGCGTCAGCTCACAACCCTCACCCTCTGCGCCCCTCGTGCCCAGCGTTGGCGTCGCCGGCCGCTGGCGCAGGCGCGGGGCGGCAAGAGGAGCCCAGGCCGGAGCCGCCGCCGAAGGAGGCGGCCCCGCCTGCGTCGGGGAGGCAGGAGGCAATGTGGGGCGGGAGGGAAGATGGGGAATCCACGGGAGTCCACGGGAGGGAGGGAGGGAGGGAGGGGGTGGAAGGGGAGAGAGGGAGAGGGGGTGGAACGGCAGAGGGGGTGGAAGGGGAGAGGGAGGGTCCACGGGAGGGAGGGAGGGGGGATAGGAGGAAGGAGGCGCAACGGTCGGGGGGGGGTGAAGTTTTCGGATGTTGTCTAACAAGTTTCGGTTTTCTCTTCGAACACTTTCGGTACCCAGGTTTTTTTTTGTTCGAGTGCGCCTCGTCCAGGGCGTTCCGGGCTTGTCTGGATTGTCCCGGACGGCCGCCAGATAGTTGAGCTAAGACCCGAAAGCCAGCGGGGGTCGCATTGACCCCGAGTCACCCGTGTATCGCCGATAAGAGCCCGATAGCCTGCCCCACCCGTGACCGTCCAGATTCGCGGTCAGGGGCCCATCGCCGATCTATCGGCGGTGTATCACCGAGTCCAGTTCGACGTTTTCCCCCTGAGCTGGCCCCCCCTTTATCGTTCCCCCCCTTGACCGAGGGAGAGGAGGAGGGACGGAAGGGTGTGGGGACATGAGGAAAGAAGGAGGAAGGGAGGGAGGGAACAGAGAAAAGGGGTAGAACAAGGGAAGGGGGGAGGATGGAGGGAGTGGGGAGGACGGCCATAATGCGGGCCGGTGGCATGAGCGCGGACGCTGTGCTCTGTCGACAAAGCCTCATTCAACGGCACCCGAACCGACGGTGGGCAGACTTGTGAAGCCTAGCACCCACCAACGCGGGAGAGGCTCTAGGATGCGGGCAGCTGTCTACGGGCTGCGGGGTGGTGTGGGGCCCCGATGAGTCTCGCACCGCGCTCCCCAGGCGGTGGTCCAGGGGGTGCGAAGGGGTCCCTGAGCTCCGTCAGGCGGGGAGGTTTGGGGCGGCGCGCGCGGCGCCGCCATCTGAGGGGTGGAGGGGAAGGCGGCGTGCCTGCTGCCTGTGCCTGCTGCCGCTTGCCTCCCCCTCCCCGGCCTGCTGTCGGCCCATGCCGCGTGCTTTCTCTCAGCGCCGCGGGACCTTGTCAGAGCAGGTACTGGTTGTCCGAGCTTCCCCATATCCCATGCGCCTCGCTTTCACGGCTGAAAAGGGCAGGCCCCAGTGACCAAATTGACCACCCGGGGACCAACCCAGGGATTGCAGCCCATGGACCACGGGGCATCAGCTATTCCTACCGCAGCGAGCCCGCACAACGACCACGGTTTGGCGACGAGGCATCAGCCATTCTTACCGCAGCGCAGCCGCCACAACGACCACGGTCTGGCGGATTTCAGTTCCCCCAGGAACCCCGACGGCCCCCCTGCGCCGAGAGACCCTCCCGTGGGCGAGGAGGGAGTGAGGGAGGAGCAAAGGGGGAGAGCCGGCGGGGGAAACGGGAAGCATGCGGGAACAGTGAGGGGAGGGCCCGGACTTTTCATGACAGGTTCCATGCCCCAGTTCGAAGGGATCGACGACACTTCTTCGCACGTCTTTGAAGGTTCCCACGATGTGTTTCTGCAGTCTCGAAAAGAGTCACGCAATGCCAGGGGCGATGCCGTTCTTCCTTGCGGGGGGCGCCTGATCGAGGAATGCCATACCTTTCCGCAGGAAGGCACATAACTACCCAGCGACAACAGTGTTTTCTCGACGTGGAATGCATGTGAAAGGGGAGAGGGAGAGGACGATCTTCAAACGGATCCGTTCGGCCCCAGGTCGACGCATATTCGATTCAGGCCCGACTCCTTGCGACATACGTTCGTTTCAGCATCGACGCATGCGTGGGGCGAGTGGCCCTAGGAATGTCCCCGGACAGACAGAGGAGCCAAACGCCGCCCTCTGGCGCGCAGGCACAATCACCGCGCGGAAATGTCACGGGAAACGACAGAGAGTGCAAGGGGGGCGAGGATTTGGCAGGATCTGGCAGGCCTGATCACCGCAGTTGCGAGGCACGCACCGCGGCGACGAAAGAGAGGCCGCCCCTCACAAGTCGGTCTTGGGGGCGCCATGCATCTGAACCTCACGCCGGGCTGATCCCAACACTGTAGCTGATGCTCCGTCCAGCGGGAGGTTATGGTTTGGCCACGGCGCCACCGAGCCTGATTGTCCCTCCTTCGATCCCCAGCGTAGTAGCTAGTGACATTGGGCTCCAACTTCGCCTTCCTCTATCGTATGTAGGGTCGGCCGGCACGTCTGGCTAGAATCGGCCTCCAGCTTCGCCACCCGCTTCTCGCACTTCTCGCAGAGTAGGGGTAGCAAGTCGGGCTCCGATTCCGCCTACAGCATTTTACAACTCGTCGGCTAGCTGGTGGCATTGGACTCGACCTTCGGTCGCCATGCCCAGGACATCGGGCTCCAACTTCGCCTCTCGCTTCTCGCCGTATGAGTAGGACGTTGGGCTCCATCTTCACCTCCAGCTTTCCAACTCTCGTCGGATGCAGCTGATGGCATCGGGCTCGACCTTCGACAGCCTTCGCACGTCGGGCTCAAGGGGGGCGAGGAGGAGGAGGAGAAGGAGGAGGAGGAGGAAGACACCACCGAGGAGGCCAGGAGGCCGTCCCCAGCACGAGTCTCTCGAGACCGTCCCAGACATCCGACGACTTGCTTTTCCTCCATCTGCGGCCCCAGAGGCCCCCACCCCTTCTCCAAGATACAGTCAAAAACCCGAATAAGGACGCGCGACTTTGCTCAGGGTACCCTCTTGCGTCCTTGCTCTTCCTTGCTCCTGCGTCCTCGAGGTTTTCGTCGTCCGCCGCCCCAAAAATCCCAACTTCGGCTTCCAAGGGTCTTGCGTCCTTACCGCGCGTCCTTACTCGGGTTTTTGACTGTAAGTTCTTCGCCCGGGGCCCGACGACGAGCTCTCCAGCGGCCAGCTTCCGCTGCTCGGGGGGCGCGCGGCCCGCTGCTGCCTCGGGGGCCCTGCGGGGCCCCCGAGGCAGCAGGGCCGAGGCAGCAGCTCGCCGACGGGTTTTTGACTGTAAGTTCTTCGCCCTGCATTCGCTCCTGCAGGCCCCGGGGCCCGACGACGCGCTCTCCGGCGGCCGCGACCGGAGCGCACCGCGCGGATGCAGAGAGCACGCCGTCGGAGCTCTGGGCCCAGGCAGGCCCCCGGAGCGAGCTGCCGAAGACGACGAGGCCTGGCGCCCCAAATGACCGCCCGCCGGCGCCAGGCTTCAGTCGGGCCGGTCCCCCCACAGGGGGAGTTTCGACGGAAAAATAAATACCCGCAAAATAGTCCAAAAATAGTCCGAAAATAGTCTGGGGACTACTTTTTGAGTATTTTTTTGCCTTTTGGGAGTATTTTTTGGGTATCTTTTATTTTTCGTCGAAAATCCCCCTGCAGGGGGACAGGCCCGACATGACGCCAGGCGGAGTGGTCCCGGTGGGCCCCATCGCTTGATCGGGACGATCGCAGTGGGTACGACGCCAGGTTCGTGTCGCGTCGACCGGCGGCGACCCCGCCGGCGGCGTGCAACGTTGAACGTTGCGGGCGTCCCAGAATCGTTCGATGTGGAAGGATTTGGGCGTTTCGGAAACGGCCGATCGTTCAAGGTTGAACGACCCCCGCAGCGCCGACGTCGGTACGACACGAGCCTGACGTACGGAAAGAATGGGCGCAAAGATCCACGGCAGCTCCTGTTGCTCATTTTGAGCAGGACTCGATGAACACGCCGCCGCGGACGGTGTGCATTCATGACAAGGAACCGCCCGCCCAACAGCGGCCCCTGGTTTTGGACAGCATTTATTGTTGTTTTTCTCTTGGTACCTGTTTCGGGCGTCCAAGAGCCTGAGGCCCGCAGGCCCCTGGGGGACCTCCCAAGACTGGACCGGGCCCGCTCCCCTCCGGGTGTTGCCAGAAATGCACCCGGCCCAAGGTGCCCCAGGATTTCCAGTCCAGAGCACCCCCCGCGAGGCCCAGAGGGCCCCCAGGGCTCCAAAATTCAGCGAAGAGCTGGGGGCAACTCGGGTCAGGGGCACCCTTTTCCAGTATCGTTCGATGCACCGATCCCCATCCCGATGACCACCATCTTACCACCCCAGTTAGGGGATCTGCCTCTCGAAACCCGAAGGGAACAGCCTATATCCCCGTGCTGGGGGGGGAATCGGCCAGTGGGGCCCAGGCAACGCTCGGGCCGGGCGAAAGGGGGGGATTGGGAAAGGGGGGGTTACGAAATTTGCTGCATGCAGCTGGTTTCGGCCTCACCGAGAGGGCCATTTCTCGATACATAGCCGCCTCTGGCGCCGGGAGGCGCCGGGAAAATCAGCTACGTGAGCTGATTCTCAAACCCCCCCTTTGCAATCCCCCCCTTTTCGCCCGACCCGAAACGCCAGCGGGCATAGGCGTCGGGCAAGCGGTGCCCACTTCTCGGCACGCCCCGGGCCAGAGGCCCGCGGGCCTGGCCCAGGCGGGCGGCTGCCGCGAGCGGCGGGCACCTGCGCAGCCCCCTCGGCCCGAGGGGGGCAAGGAGAGAGCACGGGGACAGTTCGTCGTCGGCTCCCGAGGAGGTGGTGGATTTGTTATTCGTTGTTCGTGTTTTGTTATTCGTGTTATTGTTTTTGTGTTATGCTGTGTGGTTGTCGTGTTATTGTTCGTGTTGCTCGTGTCATTTTGTTTTGGTTACGGGCGGTGGCTTTTGTGATTCGTTGTTCTGCCTACCGGCACGGGCCCTCGCGCCTCTCCCCCCCGTTCCCCCCCATGGAGTTGTGGAGGACGAGCAGTGGAGAGGAAGCATGTTGCCAAATAATTTCCAGATGTCTAGAACATGTGTTGAAACTGTTTTTCGGGGGTGGACAGACCTCCTACCCTGACACGTCGAGTAGCGAATTGGCCGTTTTCGGTTCGCGAGAGGGCGTCGCGGCCGTCATTGTTGCGGGTCCAGGTCGTCGGTTTCGGTCCCAGGCCGTTTTCACTAAGGAGAGGTTTACTAAAGGAAGGTCTGTCCACCGCCGAGTTTTAAACATATGACAACATGTTTCAAACATTTGCAGGACATTGTTTCTACATTCCAAACACGTGCTTAACTCGATGATAGGACTGTTAGGGTGTCCATTGTCTTGGCTGCTTCGACCGCCTGCTTCGAGCAGGTGGAGTCTCCCCCACAGGGCGCACCGCTGCAAAGGGTCGCACTAAGCAGGAGGTCCAGAGCCAGCCCCCCCTCCCCACTCCCCTTTCTTGCCACGTCGAAACGCCGAATAAGAAAACGCTCACAAGTCATCGTCGATCCCCAGGAGAATATGGGAACGTATGGGATGGTGGGGGGGAGGACGAAACTCCAGAACAGGCGAAGCTTCGACGGGGCCAGGACGAGGATCGATCCGTTCCAGAGCCTTCCAGAACACTCCCAGAGCGTTCCAGAACGCTCCTGGAACGCCGCGGCGCCCGAGAAGTCCCTCAGAACCGCCGGATCTCAGAGATTCTTGAGTTGTTTCCCCCCGATTCGATCCTCGTCTCGCCCGACTTTGTCTTCGTCTTTCCCGATTGCATCCTTCCCTGATGTGAGATCCTCCCCCGATTTATCCTCCCCCGATTTATGGCTTCGTCTTATTTATCCTCCCCCGATTTATGGCTTCGGCTTATGTGAGATCCTCCCCCGATTTATCCTCCCCCGCCGAGACACCCAGGCGGAGTGGTCCGTGTGGGCCCGCAGCGCCCCCGAGGGCGCTCCGGTGGCCGCCCTGACCGAGGAGCAGCGCCAGGCGCGGGCCCCGCCGCGCGCGCGCGCGGGCTGCGCCGTGGCGGCTGCCTCCGGGGCAGAGTCGGGTGTTCTCCATCTCTTCCTCCCCCTCCCCCTCCGCCACCTCCCCCTCCTCCTCCTCCTCCTCCTCCTCCTCCTCCTCCTCCTCCTCCTCCTCCTCATCCTCTTCCTCCTCGGGTCGACTACGGCCCCGGGGGGGCCCCCCTGAAACCAGGGCTTCTCTGCACTGGTTCAGCCCACGGCCACAGTGTTTCCGGGCGCGCGCCAGTGTCCTGGTTTGTCGACGTCCCGGTGTGGGGGTGTCCCTGATTCGTCCTTCCGTATTATCGGCGGTCCCCAAACAGGGTGGTGACCACACCGTGCGGTGAGTCGGTGGGGATTCGGGGTCACCGTACGGTTTGGGGACTCGGGTCGTTCTCCGAGGACGTCTCGGGCGACGGGGGCCTCCGGGGTCCCAAGACCGTGCGGTGACGGACCGTGCGGTGAGGTCTTGGGGGATTTCGAGGTCACCGCACGGTCTGTCACCGCACTGTTTCGGGACTCCAAAGTGGGCGGGGGTGGCCAGCCCTGGCCTTCCAGGAGGGCTACGAAAATATCACCAGCACCTCGACATCCAAGTGCCCGTCCAGGTTTCGGAGGCAGGCTGTAGGTCTGGAGGGCTGTTTTTTGGCGCTGGAGGTCAGGGAAGAGGGGGGTGATGATTCAGGGGGGGTGGATACCAGGACAGGGGTCATGATATCTCCCCAGATTTCATGGCGCCTCTTGTTATTTCAATGCGTCCCCGGTCCCCCCTGGGCCGCGCACATGTTGCCGGCCATGATTTGCGCCCCCCCTTTTGAAAGAGCGCATTCTGTGGTCGCTTGGAGAGGGGGGGGGTTGGAACCGGACCACCCCCCCTCCCCCCCCTGCTTCCCCTCTCCTCGGGCCGGCGCTTGCGTCGGCGCGGCGGCGGCTGGCGACGGCGGCGGGGACGACGATTTCCATTTCTGGGCCGGCGCCTGCGCCTGCGGCGGCAGGCGGCAGTGGCGGGGAGCGTCGACGAGGACGACGATGGTGGTGGTGGTGGTGGTGGTGGGTGGTGGTGGTGGTGGTGGCGGTGGTGGTGGTTGTGGTGGTTGTGGTGTGGTGGTTTATTGTGGTGGTGGTGGTTGTGGCGGTGGGGTGGTGGTGGTGGTGGTGGTGGTGGTGGTGGTGGTGGTGGTGGTGGTGGTGGTGGTGGTGGTGGTGGTGGTGGTGGTGGTGGTGGTGGTGGTGGTGGTGGGTGGTGGTGGTGGTGGTGGTGGTGGGTGGTGTGGTGGTGGTGGTGGTGGGTGGTGGTGGTGGTGGTGGGTGGTGGTGGTGGTGGTGGTGGTGGTGGTGGTGGTGGTGGTGGTGGTGGTGGTGGGTGGTGGTGGTGGTGGTGGTGGTGGGTGGTGGTGGTGTGGTGGTGGTGGTGGTGGTGGGTGGTGGTGGTGGTGGGTGGTGGTGGTGGTGGTGGTGGTGGTGATGGTGGTGGTGGTGGTGGTGGTTTGTGGTGGTGGTGGTGGTTTGTGGTGGTGGTGGTGGTGGTGGGTTGTGGTGTGGTGGTGGTGTTTTGGCGGTGGTTTGTTGTGGTGGTGGTTGGTTGTGGTTGTGGCGGTGGTTTGTGGAGGTGGTATGGTGGTGGCGGTGGTAGTGGTGGTGGTGGTGGTGGCGGTGGTGGTGGTGGTATGGTGGTTTGTGGTGGTGGTGGTGGTGGTGGGTTGTGCTGCTGGTAGTGGTGGTGGTTGTGGCGGTGGTGGTGGTGTGGTAGATGGTGGTGGTGGTGGTGGTGGTGGTGGTGGTGGTGGTACTGGTGGTGGGTTTTGTGGTGGTGGTGGTGGTGGTGGTGGTGATGGTGAGTTGTGGTTGTGGTGTTGGTTGTGGTGGTGTGGTGGTGGCGGTGTGGTGGTTTGTGGTTGTGGTGGTGGTGGTGGGTTGTGGTGGTGGCTCTGGTTTGTGGACGTTTGCTGTGGTGGTGGTGGCGGTGGTGGTGGTGTGGTGGTTTGTGGTGGTGGCGGTGGGTTGTGCTGCTGGCAGTGGTGGTGGTTGCGGCGGTGGTAGTGGTGGTGCGGTAAATTGTGGTGGTGGTGGTGGTGGTGGGTTTTTGTGGTGGTGGTGGTGGTGATGGTGACTTGTGGTGGTGGTGGTGGTGGTTTGTGGTGGCTGTGGTGGTGGTGGTGGTGGTTGTGTGGTGCTGTTGGTGGTGGTGGTGGTGGGTTGAGGCGGTGGTGGTGGTGGTAGTGGTGGTGGTGGTGGTGGTGGTAGTGGTGGTAATCCTCGCTGCGTCTCCGCCGTCGCCGGCGCCAGGGGGGCGGGGGGGGGGGTTGGAACCCCGCCCCCCCCCTTGGGCTGCCTCTGGTCCTTGTCGCTGCGTCCCCGCCGTGGGCGCTGCTGGCGGCCGCTAGCGCCGGCGCCGGCGCCAAGGGGGGGGAGGGGTTTTCAACCCCCTCCCTCTCATGGGAGGGGGGGAGGGGTCGGGAGGGGGGAGTCCCCCTAGTTTTGATCGACGGCGCTGAGTGTTGGGGTGGGGCTCACCCCCTGGTTTGAGACGCGCCGCCGAATGTTCCCAAGGCGAGCGCCCGTGAAACGCGTTCTCTCCTTTGGACGCCCCCCTCTTGGCCGCCTCCGATATGGGCGCAGGGGGCGACGAAATTTCGATGCTCGGGGTTGTCGGGCGTCTTCAAAGGTTCCTGTCGGTGTTCCAGGCTCGGGATGCCTTCCGGCGGCTGCGCATCGCCGAGAGCGTTCCAGGGGTGCCTGGATCGCCCCGAGCAGCCGCTGACCTGAACTTGTTGTTGGAAGTTTTCGGGCATTTTCGAAAGTTTTCGAGGCCCGAGGTGGTTTCCATCAGCTGCGCCTCGTCGAGGACGTCAGGGGGGATAGGCTCAGGGGATGATGTTCGAGGTTTGAGGTGTTCGGACGTTTTTGTTTGTTCTCGGTGGTTTTCCAGCCTCGGGCTGCCTTCCAGCGGCTGATCCTCGCCGAGACCGTTTTGGTGGTTGTCGGATCTCCCCGAAATCCGCTGGATGCCCGAGTTATGAGCCGAAGGCCATCTGGCGTTGAAGAGGGTCAGGGAGAGATAGGGGGTATGGGTATGCTCGAAGTTTTCTGATGTTTCCCAACGTGTTCGGAAGTTGTCCAACGTTTTCGAGACCTGGGGTGGTTTGCATCAGCTGCGCCTCGTCGAGGGCGTTCTGGGCGTGCCCGAATCGTCCCGAACGGCTGCCTGAGAGCAGAGTTCGGACCCGAAAACGAGGTGCAATGGCAGGAGGGGATAGGCTCAGTTGAGGACGCATCGACCCCCAATCGCCCATTTGATCGCCGACAGCGGCCCGATAGCCCCACCATTCCTCGGAACGTTCGGATTCTGGGACTATCGGCGATCTATCGGCGATGTATCGCCGATTCCAGCTCGATGTTTATCCCCCTGAGTTGGTCCCCCGATAACTTCCCCTCCATCGCCGAGAAGAGGAGCGGTTTGAGGGACCCAGAGCTTCGACGAGATGATTTTGTCGATCCGCGCGATTGTAATCGGTTTCGGCCTTTGGGGCCCGCTTTCGGGCCCGCTTTCCTATCAACAACAAAGATTCGGGACGAACAACGAAGATTCGGGGTCGGGACCTCCGGAGCAGCGCACTGGAAACAAATCAGATCTTCGGATGTCTGGGGACCAGCTTGCGGACGAGCCAGGACGATCGAGGGGCCGGGACCAGGCCATGATTTACGAACCCCCCTCTCTCCTCCTCCTCCTCGTCCTCGTCCTCGTCCTCCTCCTCCTCCTCCTCCTCCTCCTCCTCCTCCTCCTCCTCCTCATCATCATCATCATCATCATACTCCTCCTCCTCTTCCTCCTCCTCCTCCTCCTCCTCCTCCTCCTCCTCCTCCTCCTCATACTCCTCCTCCTCCTCATACTCCTCCTCCTCCTCCTCCTCCTCCTCATACTCCTCCTCCTCCTCCTCAACGTTCCCATCTTATCTTCCCCAAGGGATGCCCTGGTACCTGCCCTCGCCGAGAGCGTGCCCGGAAGTGCTCCCGTTGTCCCGGCAAGCGCTCGGAGGCCGCGGCCGAGTGCTGTGTTCTGGGGGCAGGCCTGCGATCACAGCCGGAGGGTCGCCCTGGTTGGCAGCATCACGAAGCCTATGGATCTTGCTCCTCGTCCTCCTGCTCTTCCTCTGCCCTCCTCTCTCCTCCCTCCGGTCGCAACTGGACTCTCGATGTGTTGTTCAGGCTGGAGTCCATTGCATGAGTTTGCCTACTGCAGGTCGGCCTGTGCGGTGTTTCTGGTTTGCCGAGCGACCTTTTGATCCGCGATGTGGTTGTGTCACCCGTGGCGTTCGACGAGGAAGAAGGTCACAAAGCCAATGAAAAGATTTGGCGCATCAGAAAAACAAAAACATTGTGTGGCGTACGTTTGTGGGAGAACGGAGTCGAATTCCACTCTGGACCTCGTCCAGGTTGTTTGGGAGTCTGTTGCATTCCTGGGCCAACTAGGTCCAAACGTTGTCTGGTGGCATTTGGCCCAACACGTCACTGAGCCCGGGTCTTCGACAAGAGACCTCTTAGAGGCGTATTTGGGTGAGGTCTATTGGAAGGCCTCTTGGCGGCTTCCTGCAGGCCTCCGAGGCTTCCTTGAGGCCTCTTAGATGCTTCTGGCTTGGGGGCTTCTCGGGGGGCACAATGGGGTGGAGGGCCCCTGCACCCCCTTCGAGCCCCTAAGATTGACAAGGCGAGCTTGCCATATGTCAAAAACTGTTGGCCTCTCGGGCCGACCCCCGGCACGACCAAGGCGGCCCAAGAGAACCCCGAGCGAGCTGCAGAACGCCCCCATGGAACCACCTGAGGCCACGCTGGAAGTGCACATTCCGTGCAGCGTTCCCGCGGCGTCGGAAAGGCGTGCGCCACACCCCAGAATGGCCAAGCAATGTCTGGAACTCGCGGGTCTGAGCCCCTGGAGGCGTGTTTACAATATTTGGCACAGGGCACTCGAAAAGTCCTCAGTTCAGTCCGTTTCGTGCCCAGCGGCACGGCTGCGGATATTGTATGGTTGAGGACGTTGAACAGTTGTGCAACATATAGCGATGTGTTGCACATGCTCGTTCGAAAGCATGGGCGTGTGTTTGGCCCCAGCGTTGACGCAAGGTAGAGCCAGTGCATACTCTGTGGTGGCAGAGGTCACTTGTTCCAACACGCACCATGCTTGAAGGATACCGTGCTTACTGAGATCATGGTTTGAACAAGCGACGGTGAGTTCGGGGAAGGGAAACCATGCAGTGGAGGAAGGAGCACGGCAAACTACACGTGTGAAGCAGAGGAGACAACCACGACGCACGCGAGTCATAGCTCAGGGAAGGGCGGGTTCATGAGGGATGATTGGCGCCTGAGTTCTTCCATCTCGTTTCTCGGGGAGGGGCGCGAGGGGATGCGCAGCGCCAGGTGTTCTTGGACCTTCAGTCGCAGGACTGCTCCCCAGCGTGCGCGCTTGGGCGCGTGAAGCGGTCGTGCCGATGATGGCCAGTCTGTCTCGTTGGCCAGTTTCCCCTCACGGACCACCAATACAGCCGTACAATGCAAAGCTCGGGGTTCAGTATGAGTGCAGCATGCTACTCTTTTCTCGCCGTTGGAGCTTCGAGCAGAGCTGTCGATGGCTATCAACACGATGTCCCATGTGGATCGTGTCTGACAACAGCTATGGACACGTTTTAGTTGTTCCATCTAGGTGGTATTCGACATGTTAATCATGCATGAGTTCCGCCTTCTTGGTTGGCACTGCTTGCTTATTCCCGCCCCTCCTTTGAGTGGGCACTCGTTTTGAATCAAGCATCGCTATTGCTCTTCCTCCTCATCCTCCTCATGCTCCTCCTCCTCTCCTCGCTGCCTTGGCGTTTCGTCTTCGCTGCATCGTCGTTTCCTATTCCTCGCCCGTCCTGGGTGCTGCCAACCGCGCAAGTGTCGCCACCTTGGCGAGCTTGTTGAAGGTCAAGTGGAGTGTATGGCTACGCAGACCCAGACGGGTCTCGTCATCTCTGCGTGTTGCCGACCGCCAATTGTCCCACTTTCATGAGCTTGCGTCGGGTCACGCGGAGTGCGAGGCTTCGCAGATGCAAATTGTACCTCGCTTCCCCGGGTGTTGTCAACCGCGCAACCGTCGCCGCAGTCGTAAGTATGTGGGAGGTCCATCGGGGTGCAGGGCTCGCCCTCTCTTGGTGGTGCCGACTGCGCAACTGTCCCCACTTTAATGAGCGCTTGGAGGTATAGGGGAGTGCGTGGGGTAATGCAAGTCCCGTCTAGATTTCGCTTCCATGGTTGCCCTCTCTTGCGATAGTGGCGTCGTGGTCGTGAGCTCCTGGGAGGTCAGTCGGCTGCGAGCTACGCAGATCCAAATTTCCACCCTGTACATAGGGCGTGGGGGAGTTAGCGGACTGCGGACCTACACTGAAAAAAGGGCACGTCGCCAATCTCGCCGCGGCGCCCGAAAAATTGGCCGAACCTGCTGACAGTTCGTGCAAGAAGCAAGCGAGTCCTAGCTCGCCCGCCAGCTTCGCAGCCCCCCAGGGATGGCGAGGTCTCTTGGCGGCCCGCGTAACACTTCACTCCGCTGTACCCCACAGCAGCCCTCGAAAGTTGCGACAGTTTCGCAGATCGCAGCCCCCCAAGGATGGCGAGGTCTGATTTGAGTCAGGGTAAGCCGTCACTCCGGTGGGCCCCCCAGCAGCCTTTGAAAGTGGCGACGGTTTCGCAGATCGCAGCCCCCCAAGGGATGGCGAGGTCTCATTTGAATATGATAAGGACGTCACACCGCTGGACCCCCCAGCAGCCTTCGAAGGTGGCGACAGTTTCGCAGATAGCTTGGCAGATCGCAGCCCCCCAGAGATGGCGGGGTATCATCTGAATCTGGGTACGACATTACTCTGCTGGGCCCTCCAGCAGCTTTCGAAAGTGTCGATGGTTTCGCAGATCGCAGCCCCCAGGGATGGCGAGGTCTCGTCCGAGTTTGGATAAGGCACCATTCCGCCTGACCCCGCAGCAGCCTTCGAACGGGGCGACACTTTCGCAAATCGCAGCCCTCCAAGGATGGCGAGGTCCGATTTGAGTTTGGGTAGGACGTCACTCCGCTAGACCTTCCAACAACCCTCGAAAGTGACGACACCTTCGCAGATCGCACCCCCCAGGAATGGCGAGGTCTCATTTGAGTTTGGGTAAGACGTCATTCTGCTGGACCCCCATCATTCCTTCGAAACTGGCGACGGTTTCGCAGATCGCAGCCCCCAAGGATGGCGAGGTTTCTTTTGAGTCCCCCCAGCAGCCTTCGAATGTGGCGAGAGTTTCGCAGATCGCAGCCCCCCAGGGATGGCGAGGTTCCATTTGAGTCAGGGTAAGCCGTCACTCCAGTGGACCCCCCTGCATTTCTCGAAAGCGGCGACAGTCATTTGAATCTGGGTAAGAACGTCACTCCGCTGCTCCCCACAACAGCCCTCGAAAGTGGCTGCAGTTTCGCAAATCGCAGCCCCACAGGGATGGCGAGGTCCCATTAGCGTTTGGGTGGGACGTCACTTCGCTGGACACCCCAGCAGCTCTCGAAAGTGGCGACAGTTTGGCCAGGTGGGAGGCAAGCTGGCACGCAGGAAATAACGAGGTGAGAGGCATGAGAGAAAAGGAGAGGAGGAGGGAGGCGGGAGGCGAAGAAGACGCGCGCGCAGTGCTTTCTTCAAAACGAGTACCCAACGCAGGAAGGCTGGGAATGAGAAGAACTCGCCTCGAAACGGCCCCGCCTAGGCTTCGGCTGCGCCGCGCGTTCGCCAGCGCCGCGACCCCTGAACATATTCTTATCCATCGCAGCCGCCACGGCTCGCGCAAGCGTCGTCGCTCTCGCGAGATTTTGTGGGAGGTCCAGTGGAGTGCGTGGCTGCGCAGACCCAAGCGGGTCTCGTCATCTCTGGGCGTTGCCGACCGCGACACTGACCCCACTTTCGTGAGCTTGTGGCGGGTGCAGCCGCGGCTCGCGCTGGTATGTCCACCAGAAGACACCCGAAGTCGCTCCGTCCGTTTGCGCCAACGGCACCCTGACCCCTCGCTGGCCAGCCGACGAGCCGCGCAAGAGTCTTGTTGTGTGTTGTGCGCACTGCCCGCAGAAGTCGCCCCCCTTTCCGTCGCCGTCTCGTCGCGCTGCTGTGTTGCTGTGCGCTTCGCGCCCACTGGCTTCGTGGTACTTCTGGTGCGTATCGATTGCACGACATCACCTCGGCACCAGTAGCGCAGCGCGGCACGCAAAAATTGGATTGCAAGTCCTGGGAATTTTAATCAGCATCGGCGCTGGTATACCCGTGGGCGGGGCTGGCCAAATCCAGCATAATCAGCTCAATGCCGTGCAATCCAGCTTGTTCTTGACCAGATGAGTTGCCCCTTGATCGGGCTGAGTCGCTCTCGCGAAGGCCTCCCAGGAGTCCCAGACACCCGGCGATACAGTCGTGGCCCTGAAGAAGGAGCCCTTTTGGTTGGGGAGGGGCTCCGCGTTCCTTAAGTGTTTCACAGCCTGCCTCAGGTTGTCCTTATGTTTTCGATCGGAAATCAAAGTGTAACTCATGGAACAAAAAGGGGCCTCGTTCCTTAGTTAGGGTTCCTTAGGTCAACGCCCCGACTGTAGATGACTTCTTCCGTCCGCGGCCCCAGAGGTCCTGACCCCTTCCCGGGCCCAGTTGTCCGCCCCAGATCGGATGGGGCCAGGACGAGGATGCATCCAGTCCGGAGCGCTCCAGAACGCTCTGAGAAGGCCGCGGCGTCCGAGATATCCTCCAGCTGCCCCGGATCTCAGAGATTCTCGATTTATCCTCACCCGATTTTCTCCTCGTCCTGGCTTCGTCCTGCCAGATCCACTCTGGCTTGCCCTGGGGCCTGATAGTGGGCCCAGGGGCCGAACTCGAGTCTGGGACCAAGAGACGGGGGTCAGTGCAACAGGGGCCAGCCAGAGCGCCAGATCCTGCCTGATCCTGTAGGGCCAGTGTCGCGTCTGGATTGACCCAGGTCAGTAGATCTCCGATCGAGGCTAAGCGTCCAGATGGAAAAAATCTGACCCCTTTCTCCTCCTCCTCCTCCTCCTTCTCCTCCTTCTCCTCCTTCTCCTCCCTTTGAGGAGAACTGGCTCGAGAGAGCTTATTTCATTCCGACTACTCGTGCCCCTTCCGACGCCTCTCTCCGCTCCTATTCCACCCTAGCTTTATCAGTGCTATCGTATCTGGCTCAGTTTTTCCGCCCTCTCCAGTCCATGCTTGATCATGAGCGTCTCTTTTTGCATCGTGTCTTGCGCCTCCCTCCGAATTCATTCGATGGCCCTACACTTCACTCCTTGTGTGGCTGGGTCCCGGGAGGGCGCCATAGGCCGCTTGCGCCCTGGTGCCAGGCCCACATGTGGCGCACGGGAGGCTTTACAGCACAAGAATGGCGCCCCTGGGTCGAACAGTTGCGAACCAGCGCGGAAACTTGCTGTGGAGTTGTCGCGATTCTCCGCGGCGAGTGGTCTGGACCATTATGGAAGGAGACACAGGCCATAGTGCAGAGGTGGGCCGAAGCAGTAGATAGCACACCGTGGCATAAACTATCGCGGTCGCGCCTGTGTGCGGCATGTCAGGCAGCGATGCAAGGATGCGCTGCTGCCGCTGCCGAGCAGCGCCGAGCACGTCCTCAGAGTCTGTACCTCTCCTCCCTCCTCACCTCCCTCTACCCCGATTCCATGCCCAGCCTCTTGCGTAGGCGGTTTGAGAAATAGGTTGGTGAATTAGCTGCGCCAGAGCTCCGTGAGCTCCAGCAGACTTGACCGGAGCTTAAAGCGATGTTCATCAATTCGAGGCCAGCGTGGGTTTGGGCACACATCAAAGCCATAGTGGGCGAGTGGACGACCACACACAGAGTCAAGGTCGAGACGCCTGCCAACTGCCTGTTCGGATACCCTCATTGTCCGGATTATTTCCCTCACTATTTCACTTGCCCCCGCCTCCTTGGCTTTATGTCCCTCGTCCGCTCCCCTCTCTCCGATCCCATCATCCGCATTGAGCTCGCTCTCCCGCCATTGTATACTTCCCAGTTCGAGCGAGAGAGCGCCCATGCATACACGGTGCTGTCATTGCACTGTTATAATAAAGTACGGCACGCTGCATCCCCACCCCAATCTTCCTCATCAGACGTTCACTTACTGCGCGCAGCTCAAGATGCCGTCAGCATGTAGATGAGATCGGCACCTGCTGCGCCTCATGATTCTTGCGCTCCTCCTCCTTTTCTCGCTCCTCCGCTCCTCGCTCTCCAGCCCGTCCCTGCTCCGTCCCTGGCCCGCTGTTCTGCGCCGGACAGCCCTGCGCTCTGAATCAGAGCTGCGCCGGCAGGAACTGGCACCTCGTTGTGTGTCCTGGCATCGCTCGGACGTGTGCATTTTCTTCTCGGCGAAGCCGTGGAGGACAATCCTGGACCATCGAGGAAACAAAAGAACACGCACGAAACCGAAACATGCACGGGAAATGGACGTCCGAGCGATAGCGAGGAGTGTGGAAAGACGGCCCAGCGCTGCGCGCTCCAGGGTTGCGCTCACCGCCGCGGAGGGCACCGGCGACCCTTCGGGGGTGGACAGACCTCCTACCCTGACACGTCGATTAAGGAATTGGCCGTTTTCAGTTCGCGAGAGTGCGTTGCGGCCGATATTTTTGCGGGTCCAGGTCCGTCGGTTTCGGCCCCAGGCCGTTTTCATTAATGGGAGGTTTACTAAAGGGAGGTTTGTCCACCGCCGAACCCTGGGATCCGCGCCCCTCGCTTGGACGCCCAACGTGTCTGGGACAGCTGCTGCCCGGGGCAGTTCCGGTTTGGGCCCCCGAGTCGCGAAGCTGCAGTTCCCTTTTTTACCAGCCTCGAACTTATCTCTGTCCCTAAGATTGACACGCCAGAAGGCGATGACAGTCCTACGGATGCGCCCTCAAAATATAAGGGAATGCCTAAGATCGGCATCGTGATGAGGAGATGCCCAGCATAGGGATAGGGATATGTTCCAGGCTGGTAACCTTGGACCGCCTCCAGCCCTGGTGATTCGGGAGGGTTGCACGCCCGGGTTGTGCGGGTGGACGCCCGAGTTGTCCAGGACAGTTACGGTCTGGGGTCACTCCGGTCTGGGCCCCGAGGCGCGACTTTGCATAGCTGTCCCTGACCGCTCCCAGCCAGAGCGATGCGGGGCTATGGCTCGCCCTGCAGGAGGAGCAGTGGCAGAAGGAGGAGGAGGCCCTCCGGCGCAAGGCCCGGCGCCCCTCCCCCGCGCGGGGCCGAGGGAGAGGAGGGAATTTGTACGTAACCACCGAGGCGGTGGATGTGGATACAGTTGGGCCCACGGGGGCCAAAGTGTATGCCAGGGCGCAGGTTCCAGGGGGCGGTGGATCTGGGCAGGAGAGGGGATCAGAGAAGCGAGAACGGCGTGAGCAGAAACTTCTGCCGGTCCGCGCGGAACCTTTGGATCGGCGGTGGGCCCCCCTAGCGTCGCCGCCGGCGCCGCCTCTGGCACGCTCGGACATCCGCGCGGAGCGTTGAGGGTTGATGCTAGGGGAGCCTCGAGGGACGGGCCTGAGGGGAGCCGCGAGATGTTGTCCTGAAGGAGACAAGGGGCATGCGCCACGGGGCGCCAGCCCGAAGACCCGCCGAGGGCTTGCACAAGCCTCGGGCCGAAGCTGGGCAGTTCCCGTGGCTCTGCGCGACCCTGCAGTCAGTGGTGAAGGCATCTCGAAGTCTTGGACACCTGGAGGTAGTTAGGTCTCGCATCTGATTGGGGCTCCTTGGCCGACGGCGCTTTCCCTTCTCACTGCTCTGTTTTCACATAACCTGGGCCGAGGGTTCTAGGTGCGAGCTAATCGGGATGCTCCGCCTCTTGCAGCGAGCTCGCCTCGCGCCTCAACTGTGCTCATGGAGTGTTGGGGAGGCGGAGGCTGGAAAAAAACAGGAGGAGAAAGAGAAGGAGGACGAGGGGGAGAAGGAGGAAGAGGAGGAGGAGGAGGAGGCGGCGGCGGAGGAGGAGGGGAAGGAGGAGGGGGAGGAGAAGGAGAAGCGGAAGCGGGGGAGGAGGAGGGGAGGAGGAGGAGGGGAGGGAGGAGGAGAGGAGGAGGAGGGAGGAGAGAGGAGGAGGAGGAGGGAGGAGGAGGAGGAGGAGGAGGGAGGAGGAGGAGGAGGAGGAGGAGGAGGAGGAGGAGGAGGAGGCGGGCGGCGGCGGCGGCGGCGGCGGCGGCGGCGGAGGAGGAGGAGGCGGCGGAGGAGCAGGAGGGGGAGGAGGCGGAGGCAGAGGAGGAGGAGGAGGAGGCGGAGGAGGCGGAGGAGGAGGGGATGTGTCTCAAGCAGAAAGGGCCGCGGGGGACGGCCCCAGACCCCTTCGGGGGGCCCAGGCACGACGGGAGTTCTCGGCTGCCTTCGCCGTCCTGGGGGGCCCCTTTGCCGGGCGCGGGGACCGGCAGAAGATGACTCGGGACGAGTCGGGAGCCTTGGGACGGGGGTCAATGCAAACGGGGGTCAGCCACGGCACCAGATCCTACAGGATGCAGCGAAGACCCCCTCTGGCTGACCCGGGTTAGCGAGCCGTTCGTGGCCGCGAGGCGGCCGCACATATTGGCTGACCCGGGTTTGCGAAGACCTGCGTTGCAGTTTTTTGTCCTGCATTGCAGTTTTTGGTTTCCTGCTGACCCGGGTCTGGATTGACCTGGATCAGAAGATCCCCGAACGAGAACCGGTCCCCAGGAAGGAGTCGAGACCTCGCGAGGTTCGCATGGTAAAATAGGGGAGCGAGCAATGGCAGAAACATACAAACTCGGCGGTCCGCGCGGATTTCTCGGATCCGCGCTGGCGCCCCCTGGCGGCGCCTCCGACGCCGCCCCTTGCGCGTTCCGCGCGCCAGGTAGGGGGGTCCATCGCGGATCCAAGACATCCGCGCGGACCTCCGAGTTTTCATGTTTATGTCATTTTTCGTTTCCCTAGAATGATCCCGACGGAGTGACCCCACATGAGAATATGTTCAGCTTGCCCTTAGCCCTTTCCTCCTCGCCCTGGCAGACACCCTCCTCTCGCCCTCTGCTCTGCCCTCTCCTCCTCCTCCTCCTCCTCATCCTCATCCTCATCCTCATCCTCATCCTCATCCTCATCCTCCTCCTCTTCATCCTTCTATTTCTCCTCCTCATTCTATTTAACCTCCCCTCCTCCTCCTCCTCTCCTCCTCCTCCTCCTCCTCCTCCTCCTCCTCCTTCTCCTTCTCCACCTCCTCATCATCGTCGCCCTCTCCCCATCCTTGCCCCGTCGTCATCCTTCCGCTGCTTCTTCTCCATGTGCTCCCCCCGTCCCCCTGGTCGGGGCAAACAAATCGATTTCACTCGGCGCCGTCGCCGCCTCGGCCAGCGCGCGCGCATTCGCCGACGGCTGGTTCGCGAAGCCTTTGGGACTTTTGAGGAGGTAGCATGGGCAGGAGGGTGTATCACCATCGTTCATGCATCCTGGGTTCCCTCTGGTCCTCCTCCTCCTCCTCCTCCTCCTCCTCCTCCTCCTCCTCCTCCCCATGACACAAATTCGCGCTAGTGGCCCCCCATTCACATGGAAAGTTGAGCTGCTCGGACGCGTTATTGAAAACATATAAAAGTGGAAAGAATTCGGCCGAGGATGGGTTACCAACCCCGGCCCGGACGCAAGGGGCCACCCCTCCGCCCGATTCGGTCGTCGACGGGTTACCTTTGGCGGCCCGGGGACAAGGGTTTCCCTCTGCCCCGGTTCGGCCGAGGATGTGTTACCGCCCCCGGCCCGGACGCAAGAGTCTCCCCCTGCGCCCGAGTCGGCCGCAGATGGGTTACCACCGGCGGCCCGGAGACAAGGGGTTACCCCTGCCCCCGATTCGGCCGAGGATGGGTTACCACCCCCGGCCCAGACGCAAGGGGCTGCCCCTGCGCCCGATTCGGCCGCCGGTGGGGTACCACCGGCGGCCAGGAGACAAGGGGTTATCCCAGCCCCCGATTCGGCCGAGGATGGGTTACCACCCCCGGCCTGGATACAAGAGGCTACCCTTGCGCCCAGCCGCTGTCTCGCCGTCGTCGTCGTGAGCCCCTCAATCGCTCCGGTGTCCCGCACTACTGCGGAGTCGCGAGATGTTTGCCGACAACTGGCGTGGGACTTTTTCGAAATTCCCTCGCAGACAAAGCTCCTGCTTGAGATTTCCCCCATATTCAGGCCTCAAGAGCGCAACAGTGACGACATCTACAGGGATCGAATGACCCGCTCCGATTTATAACATGATCTGCGGGCACCATAGGGAGGGGGCTCCCGCCCGAGACTCCATCGCAATTCGCTCACCCCCCATACTCAGGCCTGGGAAGGCCAAACATGACGACAGTTACAGGTTTGCCGAGAGGACTCATGTGAGTGACCACGAACTGATAATTGAGTGACTGGCGATGATGCTGTTGAAGATGATGTCATGATGATGATGATGATGATGATGATGATGATGATGATGATGATGATGATGATGATGGTGACGGTGAATGATCGATGGCTGATGACGTTGGTGATGATGATGATGAGCGGTGATGAGGATGAGTGCTGATGATTACGAGTGATGGTGACGCGGTGTTGACAATGACGATGTTGATGATAATGAGTGAATGAGTGAGTGAGTGAGTGAGTGAGTGAGTGGGTGAGTGTGAGTGAGTGAACGAGTGGTGGGATGTGTGGAAAACACACGATGCCTGGAGGGGTTTGCGGGTTTCGATGGTGTTTTTTCAGACGACGCGGATGTACGGCGCAATCACGCGTGCCTCGCGTTCGCTCCATGGCTAGCTCGTGCGTCACAGCAGCTTGTCGCCGGCCCTGCACGAATTCGAGGTCTGCCGCTTGCCGTGGCAGGCACGTGGTGCCGTCGGTTGAAGTATGTCGTGACCGAGCAGTTTCCTCGATTTTTCGAGGAGGAGCAAGCGGCACAAGTAAGCTGAAGGAGTGTCGCACGGATCTCTTGGATTGGCGCTGGGAATTCTTGGCGGCGCCGCCTCTGGTGCGCTCCGCGTCCAATGCTGATCCAAGACGTCGGCACTGATTTTCGAATGAATATGATTATGCAGTTGTTCCTCTTTCGTCTTCTTCTGTGCATGCTCGTAGGCCCGTCAGGTAAATCCAATCATGACCGAACAGTTTCCTCCTCTTTGAATTTTGTTGGCGCCATGTGGTCGCTGCGCATATGACTCAAAGTTGCGTCCCGCACGATCACGTGTTCCTGTATCTCGCCGATGGCTTTGATTGATGGCAGCCTATGCCAACCCATGCACTAGCTCGACATTCCTTGCGCGTAGTTTGTATTCGTGTACCGAATTACTGATTGGGATGTTTGTAGGATGGGTTTTTGTTGAAAAGGGGAGAGGTGTAATTATAGTTTGTGTAAGGGTATGCGGAATGAGGCATGTGTAAATATATCGAGCACGAACAAGGAATGGGGAGCACATGAGCAATGAATTAAACCACCGAGATGGAGTAAGCAATACATGTTCCGAGCAAGGAGACATGGGGCGGAGGGGCCTTGCCTGGTTGGAGATCGCTCGCACCACGCAGGTCGCAGCGGAGTTTGCTGCGGCGGGGATCTTCGAAGGACGGGGGTGCCTTCCGCGGGTGCTTGATTATCCGTAAGGGCTTCGCCCCCTGCCGCCGGCCCCTTTTCTCGAATAATTGGCTACGCAAGAGCTAAATCATGAGGCTTCGGCGCCGCCGTGAAGCAGCATCGGCAAGAGAAATTGAGATTATGATGATATTGTTGAACTCAGTGTTGCATTTTGAACCTGTTCCCGTATGCTGTGCACAGGTTTCCCAAAGAATTTCGGACATGTGGTAAATCCCATGGGTTCTTCGACCCGGACCCTGCTGATCTGCGTGAGGGGTGCCGTCGAATTTCAGAAATGTTGCAAATCCCATGGGTTCTTCGACCCTGACCCTACTGATCTGCGTGAGGGGTGCCGTCGAATTTCAGAAATGTTGCAAATCCCATTGGTTTTTTCGACCCTGACTCCGCCGATATGCATGAGGGGTGCCGCCGAATTTCAAGACATGTGACAAATCGCATGTGTTTTTCGACCCTGACCCCGCTGATCTGCAGGAGGGGTGCCACCGAATTTCAGACATGTGGCAAATCCCATTGGTTTGTCGACCCTGACCCCGCCGATCTGCGTGAGGGGTGCCGCCGAATTTCAGAAATGCGGCAAATCCCATCAGGTGTTCAACCCTGACCCCGCTGATCTGCAGGAGGGGTGCCACCGAATTTCAGACGTGTGGCAAATCCCATTGGTTTGTCGACCCTGACCCCGCCGATCTGCGTGAGGGGTGCCGCCGAATTTCAGAAATGCGGCAAATCCCATCAGGTGTTCGACCCTGACTCCGCCGATATGCGTGAGGGGTGCCACCGAATTTCAGAATGTGGCAAATCCTAATTGTGTTTCCGGAACCTGACCCCGCCGATCTGCGTGAGGGGCGTCAATTTCGACCCCCCAAGCAATTTTGATAACCCCCTCAGGAGACGCTAACCAGGGCACTTTTTGGCTCCCCCCCCTCGCGCGGTCTACAACAAGGAACAGTAATACAACAAGAAGCAGAACTGTAACAGTGGAAACTGGAAACTGGACCTGGCGCAGGGAACAGCAAACCCTCGTCCTACAGCCTGGTGGCCCCACAAGGGGGCCGGCGGATATGGGGAAGTCTTCTTGCAGCTCGTTGTCGTCCCTGGCCGCCACTCCTAGTCATCGTTCTCTCCCCGCCTTTGCTTCCCCCTCCTGTTCTTCCACGCGGTCCTCCTGCGCATCTCGGGAGTTGACCGTTGGGGGAAGGGTGAAGACGGACAGCCAGCGGCGGCACAGAGTCTGAGGAGAAGGACAGGCGATGTGCGAGAGTCCAGGAAGGAGGGGGGAGTCACTCGTCCAGGCCCCCCTGTGCGCAGCTGGGCGAGGATGGGGGAGCAGAGCAGAGGGGAGTGCCCAGAGGGTTTGCACCGGCCAGGGTGGTGGAAGCAGGTGCCGGCCACTGGGGGCAGGCGCGAAGGAATTCTTGAGGGCAGGGTCACCCGCGAGTTTCCATCTGATGATGAGGGCCCCGGGGTCCTCGATCGACAGAAGGGCTTGTGGCGATCAGTGGATATGATCATCAACGAGATGCTCCGGCAGAAACAGGGGGGAAGGTTGGTGTACATTATTTTCAGACTTCCAAGCGTTTGAGGGAGCAAGAGAGCGGCGAGTGGTGTGGGCTGTCGCGGGTCCAGTGTGCACTTTTGGTCAGCGGCCTGGCGTGGTGCGGCCACGAATGTGAAATCGGAGACGCCGCTCAGCCAGTGATCGATTGCAACAGAGGGGACCAGAGAAGATGACAAGCATTGACAGTACTGCTCATTCCCTGAAATGTAGGGTTGGTTAAGACTTATGGTCGTTTGGTGGATTGCCCTGCGCGTCTGGCATTGGACGTGCCCATAGACTGGGCTGCATGGGCTTGCTGTAGGCGAGAAGGCTGTGCGGCAGCAGGCTGGTGTGGCGCGATGGTTGCAGCGCAGGCGATGCGATTACAGTAGGATGAATTCCTGCACGACCATACGCTTCGAGGCAATATGGGCTTCTGTCAACCACTAATGCTTTGCTTCTCTGTCAGGTTTGCAAGCTTACAGTGGCCATGGTGAAACGATTGGCACACTTTGCGTCGGCCGCCTGGTTTAGTAAATCGGCAGTAGCTTAGATTAGGTTTTGGTTGGTCGTCAACGCGAGGTCGTATAGCGCTGGCTGGTGTAAAAAATGACAGAGTTGGGACCACGCCGGATACCTACAAATGGGATGATAGACATTTTTTCCAACCAAGTCCAGAATATGCTTGGGCTGTGTTTCAAGGACAAGGGCCGCTGAGCTTGTAAATGTGTTGCGTTGTGGTTACGAGTGTGGTGCCTAGTGGAGAAGTGGATGCACGTTGTTCCTGAGTTTGGCAGTTGTAGTTGGGGCGTTCGTGGCACGGTTCGTGGTTGGGGTTGCGCGGTTGTGCAAAAGTAGCGCTCTAATTGGCATTGTTTGTTGGATTGTTGTTGTGCCGAGCTGATGTTGGCGTCTGTCAAGCTTCCACCAGCGTTGATTTCAAAATGACGCGCTGTCCAGCAAGCAGGCAACAGCAAGCAAGCAAGCGAGCAAGCCGGTAACGGCAAGAAAACCAGCCAACAGCAATCATGGTCACCCAGAATGCGCAGCCTGGGAGCCCATCCTCCATCCTGCATGTTGGGCGAGGGTTGACGGAAACCGGCTGTGTAAGCTGGACGTTGATAGTTCTCTTACAACGTACCTAGTATATCCTGAATGGCTGGAGCCCAGTGCCTCGCGGAAGCCAGTAGGCTTTCTGGTTTGCATGCCAGTACGATAATTGATCGCGTGGGCGTTCCACCCTCCTTCCCTTTCCCTCCGCAGCCATTTTGGCCTGGCACGTCCGTCAACCACACTCCATATGGCCAGGCGTTGCTCCTGAGGGGAAGCCTCAAGCGCGGATGGCGTCCTCCACCTTCCCTGTGGTGCTCGCGCTGGCGCTACTGCGCTCCGCTTCGTCGTTGGCCTCCGTCCAGTCTAGCAGGAGGGGTGGGCTGGGAGCAGAAGGGGAAGAGGGGAGGGGGGAAGATGTGAAGGGGCGGCTGGAGAGGAGAAGGACGGGAAGAAGGGGAGGAGCCAGAGGAGGAGAAGGCGGGGGAGGGACGAGGCGGAGGAGGAGAAGGGGAGGAGCCAGAGGAGGAGGAGGAGGCGGAGGTGGAGGAGGGAGGAAGGGGGAGAGGACTGCAGAAATGCAAGTGGGAAGTGGGGGAGGAGCACAGAGGAAGGAGTCAGGCAGGGGGGGATCCAGGGAGGAACGAGCCAGAGATGAGGGAACCAAAAAGTGACAATACCGCTACTCCCCAGACCTCTTGCTGGGTGCGTTCTGACCAGCGCTTTCAGGGGAATCCGGCCGCGGCGACGGGCGCTCTGCGGGGTGAGCAGTGGTATCTGTTTCCTTCTCCTGGGAGCCAGGGATCGGGACGATCGAAATGGGTACGGAAAGAATGGGTACGGTGCCCAGCAGCAGTTCCTGTTGAACTCCGCGGACGTAACATAATATTGTGCAGACAAAAAGCCGCCTGCCCAACAGCGACCGCTGTCGGTTTTGGACAACATTTGTTGTTGGGCATTGTGCCAATTTTTTCGGACCCATTTCGGGCGTCCGAAAGGGAGGAGGGAGCCCAGAGAGGGTTGGAGGACCGTGGCCAAGTCCCCTTCCTTCCAGCAGTTCGTGGAGCTGCGTGGCAGAGACTACGTGCCTGGAAGCGCGGAGTACCTCAAGCGCGCCGGCCTCTACGCTGGGGCCGCTGAGGCGGTTGACCGGCACAACGAGGACCCGTCGCGCAGCTGGACGGCCACCGTAGGCAAGTTCGCCGACTACACGGCGGAGGAGCGCCGGGGGCTCCACGGGCTGGTCATCGAAGAAGAAGAACGGCGCATGCATGTCAGCAATTTAGTTGGGCGGTCCGCGCGGGTTTCTCGGATCTTCGCTGGGCCCAACTGGGGGCGCCTCTGGCGCCACGCTTGGCGCGTTGCGCACGCCAGGGAGGGGGATCAAGCGCCGATCCAAGAAATCCGCGCTGAGCTCCGAACGTTGATGGTTCCAGTCGAGTTTGGACAGTAGGTCGGCCTTCCTGAATCAACGATGCCCTTGTGTCATGTGTTTCGCGTCCCATGTCCTCTGCATTCCTGGGGCATTGTGGCCATCGGAAGGATCTTGAGTCCTCTCGCGTGTCCTCTTCATTCACACTCGGCTGTATGTCGTGTTTTGTCTCTCTAGGTCCACGACCATGCCGGCGATGATGCAGCAGAGGTGGCGGACGGAAGCAGCAGCATGGTGGTGAATTTGGCGGAGGTGCGGAAGCCGACGTTTCCGGAGTCGTTCTCTTGGGGCCACCTGCGCTCTATGAAGAAGGTCAAGGATCAGGGCTAGTGTGAAGGCCTTGCGGCCGGTGCCGCCGACCTTGAAGGCGGGACCTGCCCTGGGACCCCTGGTAGCGCCCCCCCCCAGACCCGCCTGGACCCCGAGGGGGTGGGCTGGGGCAGCACTCTGACCTGGGACCCTCCCCCTCCACCACAGGCGGGCGGTCACAGGGGGGATTTGAGGGAGAGGGAGGGGGGAGGGGGAGGGGTCTTGGAGTTCCCTCTGTCCACATGAGGGAGCCCTCCCAGAACACGCCAGGACCCTGGGGGGGACAGCAATCTGACCCAGGATTCCCACCGCACCCCCCCCCCCCCGAGGGGAGAAAGGAGAGTGAGTCGACTCAACTACAACGTTTCTGTTCTCTGTTCGTTCCTGAACTCTCTTGGGACCGGCGACGACGACGACGACGACAGCGTATCACACACGCCGACGGGTCGGCGGATTGTGGTTCGTGCTGGGCAGCCTCTGCGCTCAAGGCCCTCGAGGCTAACTACGAGATTGCCAAGAACAAGTCTGTGACCTTCTCCGTGCAGCACCTCGTCTCGTGCGCCGAGAACACGAAGCATTGCGGCGGCACTGGGGGTTGCCACGGCGCCACTGGGGACATCGCGTTCCAGTACGTCTTCGAGCACG